AGCTTAATAAAGTATAAGTAAGTCACCTAGAGTATACTAGCTTTAGAGATCTATAGTATAGTTACTAGCGCTAATATTGCTTACGTAATTAGTATAACCTTAGTAATAATAACTAACTGCCTTAAGATTCCTTATATACTAACTATCCTTTACACTAACTTATACTTACTCTACAAGTGCCTTATTAAGTTAAGTATAACAAAGGAAAAGAGGCTTATAATAAATATTATAGCCTTATAGTAGTTATATAAGTAATATAAAGTCTATAAAGTCTAATAGATCTAAGGTAATAATAATCCTACTAATAGATTTATAAAGTTATTACTAAATAAGGCATTAAAGCAGCTAGTTAGTAATAGGACTATAAGGATTAGAATAGAGGGATAGGTTTTATATACTACGTAATAGGTCACATAAACCAGAAGTATTATAATACTTTTAGGCCTTTAATTTTTATTACGTTTTTAGGGTTTTTAGCTACTAAGCAGTCTTTAGGTTATTTAGCTATTTCTCTTTACATAAGAAAGTTGCTAGTGTTAGGATATTTGTCACTAGCAAAGGGTGGAGCTAATCTAAGGTCACATGACTAACCTCAGCAGCTTACTCACTTACACCTCCACAAATATCCACGGCAACTGCCAACTTCAAACTTCTTCTTAATCAACCTTCATACCTCTTTCGCATCAATAGTAATATACGCTATTTGCTGCCTCTGGTCAACCAGCCTATGATACCAACATTAGCCTTTAAGCCCTTTATAAACCCTTTCCTAATGATAAATTTAGATAGCCTATACTTAGCCTTAAGTGTCTCTATAGCTACTAGTTAGGGTCAGGGTTACAAAATGTATATCAGAGCGATCAATGTCATCAGAATTAATTTTTATCTGTTAGCTGATATCCCGGTTGTATGACTCCTGTGAGCATTTCTTCCGCCATGCATCTGACAGGTCTACAGTCTCCAGCCACGCCAAAGCCCTATTGCCAATTCCTGCAAGAATAGTAACTAACTGTTAGCACATGGGTGATGCGGCCGGAGGAGGTAGGTCACGTGACACACCGCCTACCGGCATTATTCCCCACCCTTGCCGCCCTCACCTCTGACAACTATTGAGAATAACAACCACTAAATCACTCACTATCCATCACGATCGTGAGATATTTGGGATCCCCCTTTTCCCCTTGCAACCACTTATTTGCTGCTAATCCAACACTAACGTTCTTGAATTGCCAACTGCAGCGTCACCCCAAAGCTTGCCATACACACAGCCAGACTGCGGATGCAGAATTAGTATGCAGCCACTGACATCCTGGACGTCTTACTAGTTGTGGGTTCATTCCGGTTTTTGTGCGTAAACCACGTATCTAGAAGAAAAGTCTGAGCACTTTTTCCTTTCCATAGATAGGAGACGAACTTACACCGGCCACCAACCGTGAATTGACCTGTCTTTCATGTCCTTCCTGACGTCAACCAGGAAGACCTCTAGCTGTTCTTTCGACCACCCCAAGGCTCTGGTGAACAAGGCCAGGCTCAGGCCTGATAACCCTTGCCCCAGGTCCTCGTACGTCCACATGCCTACAAATCCTAGTCAGCAACCCAAAAAGCGGCGGGTGCTATAAATATAAAATAAAAGACGGTCCAAAATTGCTTACCCAATTCTTTAAACCTGGGGTCCCTCGGCCACGTGTTTGTGGGCCACTTGTAGATCTTTTCCGTAACGTTGACGAAGCCCGCCTCTGCCAGCTGCTCCTTGTAGAACTTGCAGCTGTCCAGCGGTCGCTTCCATATCGCCGCGGCCTCGAGCATATGCCTCGCCCACGTTTGGGCCGCACAGTCCGGGCCGACGGTCCCGTCGTCGCTTCGCAAATCGAGAAGGATATCGGACAACTCGATCCATCCTCCCGGCTCTAAGAATCTGGGGCGATAGGTTAGCCTGCTTCGAAGCGATAGCGCCGCCGTCGCGCTTGGGGTCACTGGTGCGTGACATACTCGTAGCTTTGCTGGATGAACCTCGGCCAGTCTGCAATCGAGCCGGTGAGCATCCGACCAAAGATGAGGTCGAATTTATAGGAGTATGTCCAATCGTCCTCTACGTCATCGATGTAGAATGTGACGTTTGGCGGGACGCTGTTGCATGAGATGTCAGCCAGGAACACCCCCCCTCCCCCCCCCTTCCCCATTGCTGGCGGAAATCTTACAATGCTGGTTGTATTGGGCTGAGATCTACGCCGGTGATCTGAAGAGTCGTATGTTAGTCATCGGGCCCTCCTTTGTTTTCGGTCGCCTGCCTACCAATGCCTCTGGATACTCATCGGCTGTCGACGTGCAAACAACAACGGTCAGCATGTGTTCTCCGTTGCCTCGGTAGTCAGGATCGAAGTGGCCATACCGAGGTCTATAGCCCATATGCCAGTTCCGGTTCCAGCATCCAGGACTCGGCGCAGTGGCTTGTCGCTACCAGCCGGGGAAACGAATAGCTTCCCATCGAATGTGAGCGTATATAAGTGATGTTGGAGGTCTGTGGCGTTTTGGTTGGTGTCATCTTCCCTACTCTGGACTAAAATTTGCAAGTCTTACCTAGCCTGTCGTTCTCGACCTGCTCACTTCCTTGTCAGTTTGTGCTGTATCTAGCATTCCCGCCTAGTGTTTATGGAGGCGCTTACGGCGTCATTTGGTAGAACGTATCCTAATTGTTGACCATGTTTAGCAACAAACTCGATTTGTGGATAGCACCAGCGCGTGACCTACTCCCTTCTCGGAATGCGTGATATGTTCTACCATTTTCCTCCCGGTATCTCATTATGGTGCTTGTCATGGACGCAGATGATTCGAGCACAGACTTTCCCCGCCAGGTCAGCTTTTTTTGGGTTCAGAGTCGTCAGCACGAGGTGTATCTTACAGCTCCCATGGTGGAATCCGCGTCGTCGTTGGCAGCGGTCTCGTCCGCATTCTGCAACCACCGTGAGCACTCTCGCCGCGTTCCCCGTCTGCGGGCAACAAACTCACGTCTGCTTCGAGTGGGCCGGCGTTCGCCGGGGTTGGGTCTACCATGCTGATCCGCTAGCGGTAGTTCGGGGGAAACGAAGGGTGTCCGATCAGTCGCGTGTTGCGCGTCAGACTCGAAGGCATGGATGAAACCACGCCGGATCAACGAGGTCTAAACAGGTAGGAAAGGTCAGGAGTCCGGGTTTTCAGAAGCCCTACCGGAGTAATTTACCCTCTTTCTTAACTGCTGGGTTGATCGGAGGATCGCCAGGCATTACTCCTCGTAACCCACGTGGCGGCCCAATCGCAGTCTGCGGAGCCGGAAACTTTTGATTTAAACGAGGCGTCCACCTCCTTTCCCAACGGTCGAACCCGCGTGAAAAGAGGTTGCATCATAACTCCGCCATGCCGAGAAGCCATTTATGTAGGGGTATGCTGGCCGATGTGATAGGACGGGGGGCATGACCCCCCTTGAAGCGATATCAGCACAGATGCCATCTCATTGGATCGAAGCTGACTGTCTTACCCGGCCGCCGCTCCGCGCTGCAGACATAGGTAGCACTCCCGCTTCAGCCCCGTAAATCACCTGAATTCTAAAACCGATGTAACTCGCAAGACACCGGCACTATTGGCCAAGACCCTGCGGGTAAGAAGATAGTTTGGAGCATTATCGTGCCATTTCTAGGGTGCTAGTTTCTTTGACCGTCCCACTGACCTTGGTTGGTCAAGTCAACCCCCATGCGCTGGCTCTCTTCCCTCGCAGAGAGGTGCGTGGAGCGGGGAGTTCGTCCCAGCGTTCCCTAGACTTTTCTTCTTGCTCTTTCACGGCCTGAGCCACCGAGTATCTCGCATCCGCGCTTTGAAGTTTCTTAATTATATTGGCACACAAACCGGTCCTCAGCTTTTCCTGACTGCGACTATGAGCCGGGATTACCTCGCATATGCGAGCGTCGCTGTATCGGCCCTCATCGCTTACAGCGTCGCCTCGATCGTCAACCAGTGGCTGCGGCTCAGGCACATCAAAGGGCCCCCGAGCGCTGGATTTTGCAAGTGGTGGCTCCTCCGCGCAGTGGGAGGGGATAGGGCGCATCTGGACTTTTACGAGGCTTGCGAGAAGTATGGTACGTTCGTGATTTGCTCTAGGCTTGCCCTTTCACCGAAGCACGAAATAATAACAATTTTCCTGTTCTTCCGCGCAGGGTCGATTGTTCGTGTCGGGCCCAACGATCTCATCACCAGTGACCCGGAGTTGATGAAGCGCATGCTCAATGTTCGGACGACTTACAAGCGATCGAACTGGTATGACGGGATGAGACTCAAGCCCGGCCAAGACAACGTGCTGTCCGCGAGAGACGATGAGTTACATCACAAACTCCGGTCGAAGATGGCCGCCGGTGTAAGCCAGGATCCGCCACCCGGTTACGACCACCTTTTTTTTTTCTCGTCTTCTTTTTTGCTAAAGCTGAAGCCATTCGTAGTATTCCGGAAAGGAAGTTGAGAACCTGGAGGCCAAGATTGACCAGAACGTCCTGCGACTGGTTGACCTGCTCGACAAATACGTCTCAGAGGACAAGCCTTTCGACTTTGGCGCCAAGGCCCAGTATCTTACACTCGACGTCATATCGGACCTTGCTTTCGGGGAGCCGTTTGGAGATTTGGCGACCGACTCGGACGTGCATGAATACATCAAGACAATGGAGGAAAACATGCCAACCATCATCGTGACTAGCGTGCTGCCATGGCTCCTCGCCCTGCTCTCGTCACCCCTGTTCAGGCACATGATGCCGTCCGAGAAAGACGCCATTGGCGTCGGGAAGACCATGGGGTGAGATTGTTTCTGCATGTCTCAAAGTCTATTCAAACACCCTTACATCAAAGTGGGCTTATAGCAAATCGCTGACAACATCGCTCCTCGCCCGACTCACAGCATCGCCAAGCAAGTCGCAGCCGAACGTTTCGGACCCAACAAAAAGGTCCAGAAAGACATGCTTGGGTCCTTTGTCGCGCGAGGGCTCAGCCAAGCCGAGGCCGAGTCCGAAATCCTAATGCAACTGTGAGGCCTCCTCCCCCCCCCTGGCCCCCTTGAGTTGATTCACATCCATCCCTGCAACGTTTTCTGACGGCGGAAAAAGCTTGGCTGGCTCCGATACGACGGCGACCGCCATCCGGGCGACGATCCTCCATGTCATTACGAATCCCAAAGTCACGGCCGCCCTCCGCGCGGAGATTGACGGCGCCAGCCTCTCGAGGCCCGTCGTCTCCGACGCCGAGGCGCGCGCGATGCCGTACCTGCAGGCGGTCATCAAGGAGGGCCTCCGCATCTTCCCGCCGGTCGTCGGGCAGATGTCCAAGGAGGTGTGCAACGGCGGCGCCGGCGACACGTTCAAGGGCGTGCACCTCCCGGAGGGCACCAGGATAGGGTACTGCGCATGGGGGATTTTCCGCAGACAGGACATCTGGGGCCCGGACTCCCACGTCTTCCGGCCTGAGCGGTGGTTGGAGGCCGACGCGGAGAAGCTGCGGACGATGGAGGGCACGTTGGAGCTGGTTTTCGGGTACGGCAAGTGGCAGTGCCTGGGTAGGAACGTGGCTTGGATGGAGCTGAACAAAGTCTTTGTCGAGGTTAGTCGCGCTCACCGGTGTCCATCTAGAGACCTGCCACCTTGGATACGTCTGCTGACATACAACGCCAAGCTCTTGAAGAGGTTCGATCTGGTACTGGTCGATCCTACCAAACCCTGGCACTCGGTGTGCAGTGGCGTTTTCTTGCAATCCCAATACTGGATCCGGGGATACAGAAGAACGCCTTCGGCAGGTAACTAACGAGGTTTCGAGTAATTCCACGACGTATATAATACTGCTTAAATTTGGCGCGGCTCCGAGTCGCATAGCGCTGCGCGGCCTAGTTGGTCGCTTAGGGTGGCGAAATTGACCTCGAAGCCAATTAGAAGCTACACCTGGGAACATTCAAGATTATATCATGCTAGGTGTAGATAAAAGTTAGAATACTGATGGATGAGAAGAACATCGCTTGGGGTGGCTTAGGTGTAAGATTGAAAACCCACGTCAGACAACCATGTTGCAATAGGTGCTGGTGGGCTTCTGAAACAAGTTTGAACCATCATTACATTGTGTATTTAAAGAGCAATGCCGTGGTGTTCAGGTGGCCTTTCTCTTATGCAGCATCAATGCGTTTTACCTATAGACAGGCTTCGACAAACACCCATCACTCCGACACTCAGGCCAACTCGGCGACGATGGCATCCAGCCACTTGGCCAGCCTGTACCCCTGCTTCGCGATCTGCATGCTCACCGTCGGCTCCGCGCTCGTCGCGTACGCGCCGCCAATTTCTTTCCCCTCCACGGCGTCCAGGCCGCTGGGCATCACGACCGTGCACACGAAGGCGTTGCTCTCCACCGCCCACGCCAGCGCCGTGGCCTCCGGGTCTCCCAGGTCGATGCTCGAAACCCAGGGTCCGGCGGCGGCGGCCTTGAACTGGCCCGACTTGATGGCCTTGGTGAGCGTCGCCGCCCACGGCTTGGCAACGGTCAGCACGCTCGACCCATCCCCGGCGATGGACTCCGGGATGCTGGTGTCCCACGCGGCGTGCAGGTTCGTCTTGGTGCCGTTGAAGGTGACGGTGACGTCGTTGCCGCCGACGTCGAGGTTCTCGCAGTGCAGCGGCTGGCCGATGTCGCCCGCGAAATGGATCACCATCTTGGCGGCCATCTGGCGCTGCGCAAGGGCCAAGGAGGGTTCGAGCAGGCGCTGGGTGTAGTTGGCGTAGGCCGAGACGACGCAACCCTTGGCCCCGCAGTCGCGCTCGAGGTCGACGCCGCACGAGTGGGGTGGGTCGTCGAGGGCGTCGATGAAGTGGTAGGGCGCGCTGAACTTGCCCTCGGCCGTGGAGCGGTACGTGTCGGCCCAGCTGGCGACGCTGGCGAGGTAGTTGTCCGTGGTGTCGCCAAGGAGCTGCTGCATGTATGTCTTCGTCTCGGAGGCGACGAAATTAGTCGCGACGTAGGCGACGGCGGCATGGCCCAGAGCACCCCAGGCGAGGGCTCCGGGCAGGACGGCGGACGCCAGAATCGTGAGGGGAACCAGGCGGGCCATTTGGGTGCCGGGATGGTGTATTTGGTACTACTGAGAGGAAGATGAGACGAAAGGAAGATGCGAAGGGCGTGAGAGAGACCTTGGCAAGTGAGAACAGATGATACGATGCCAGCAGATGGCTTGCGGGTTATATACGTATAGCAATATGGAGGTCCACTCGGCACCACGTGTAGCCAAGACTAGATTCCCGTTGGATCAACACAGGTTCCACGGACACGGGAAGGGTAGATAGGGCGTTTACAGGGCGAGACCCTGCGGGAAGAGCCCTCTATTCAAGCTTGATGATGTAGGCCATTATGACCTGCTCCTTTAGGCATCGCGAGGTTCACATGAATGCCGGGCTAATGTTGCCTTGGCCCGCCGATCCGGCTGTGGAGAGGCTACATCGATGTGCTATTGGACGAGCTCCGCCGGGGCACGCCAGCTCACAATCAGGCCTCGAATGCCGAGTTCCGGAGCATCAGGCGTCACCCGTATCAAGAGACCGGACAGTCCAAATATAGCCGTGAGAGGAGGCAGCGAGCAGGGCCAGATATCAAGACGGGGGTCATTGAGTGTTGAAGTTGGATTACACCTGCATTAGGGGGAAGTACACGACTGCCGACCCCGCAATCCTGCATCTGGACCTCTCAGAGATAAATAACGGCAGCCTATCCGAAAGAGGAAGGTCAGAAATCATGGCGAAAATTTCTTTAGGCTCACGTTTGCTGCGTGGGCTTCATGGTTGGGTAGTTTAGCGATGGAAAGGCAAAGGCCATGGAAGCAGAATAATCTCGTTCGTCTTTTGGTCGACGACCGAGTCTTTTGTATATGTGTATAATACAGCTAAATTGACAGTTGTTGTTGTTGTTGTTGTTGTACACGGTGAGGGAGACCTCGGACCGGCCCTATCTTGTCTCCGGTGGTAGCGATGCCGCATGCCGTGAACAGTCAGCCCACCTAGTAATCGGCGCAATGGGTGCCGGTAAGCGCCGAAACCCGCCCACGGCCGAAATGACTCAATGAATTCGAGGCTGCCTCACCCCGCTATCATCCATCAACGGCGTTGTTATCGAATCCGAACGGTGCATGTGTCATGTGTGATGGGAGATACGGCTCAGATGTTTTGCCGTATGGCCTTGAGCTCTTTCAGCATCCTGACAAACTCCGTGTTGGCGGCCTTGTGGCTTTCAGTCGACTGGCTGCCCCTGGACACCATGTGCTCGCTGATGTGTTCGGCATTGGGGTCGGCAATGCGGATGCATGCCGTAAGGTCAGGCCAGACGGCGTTGTCTGGCAGCACCGGCGGCTGTTCCAACCTCATCTCGGGAACACATTTCCTCAGGGTTTCAATGCATCTGGCCATGCTGCCGGTGTGCCAGGCCACGGCAAATACTTCCCTGTACATCTCCGGTCCTCTACGTTGGCTGTAACGGGCGGGAACGCTCCATGTCTCCCAAAACTGTTCCCAATTGCCCTGACTCGCGTAAGCCTTGAGCAAACGGACCAACTGGGCCTCAGTTGGCGACGACTGTGTCCCTTGCAGCATGACCATCTCCAGGTTGGACTGGATGTTGCGAATCTTGTCGGCCTGAGAGCCAGATGAGGCAACGGCTTCGATGATGGTGACAAGCATCTCGTGGTCCATAATGGGCATGCCACGTTCGTGCATCGTCGTGATGACCTCGGTAGCAAGGTCGGCTTGGTTCCGGGCATGGGCCTCGTCGGCCGAGGGCGCGCGGAAAATGCCTTTGAGGATGTCCAAGCACTCCTCTACGCCGACCTGCGCCCCCTCCCACCGGATCTCGTTAACACGCTGGCGATATTTGTTCAGCGGGTCTGTGACGGAGTTCGAGCTTGCTGAAGGAGTAATACCTGCGCCGACCGCCTCGGTGGGGGCCTGTTGAGCGGCTTCTTCCGATGGCCGAGAGAGACGAGTCGAGAAGCTTCTTGTTTGGGTATCCTTGGAGTAATTAGGTCTGCGGGCGCGAACGTTGGCCGTGGTGGGGAGCTTTCCGAAGCGATTGTGGTACTCGGAAGTCTCCTCTGCCACCCTGCGCTCCTGGGCTTGGCTTCGGATGAGTTGCTGGGTCCACAGACGCTCGAGATCCAACTCGTTGCGCCGGGACTCGGTCATGACCTGTACGACAATGGTCGAGCCGGTGACGGGCCCACCAAATCCGGACATTTTGCCCTCAGCATCGAAGCGAGCAGCTTCGTTGTAGGTAGATCCAGTGGTGCCGAGGTTGACGCAGATCCATCCAGTCGAAATGCCGTCGTCGCCACCCCTGGCGGCCATGGCACTCGTGCCTAGCAGCTTTGCTTTCCTCCTCATCCTTCGCAGCTTTGTCTTGAGCTCGCCAGGGCCAATGAGCCCGTCGGCATTGGCCTCGATCCTGTGGTGATGGCGAAGCCACTTGACCAGTCGCGAAGACGACACGTGTAGATGCCGCTCACTTCGGGCCGTCGCGAACAGCATAAGAAGGTTCGGTCCCAAGGCGGGAGGCGGATCGAGGGCGCGCAGGTCCAAGAGGGAAAGGTCATCGAGACCCATTTCTTCGTAGACGTACTTTAGCAAGGGCTCGAGCAAAGCAGGCGAAGATTCGGGCAGTTCAGGCAACGGTGACACCTGCTGGGTCGGTGCATGCGTAGGGGGCTGAACCTGCAGGAACCATGGTGTGTCTTCGGTCTCGCTGGGCTTCGCTTCATCGGGCTGTTCGATCTCCTTCGCGGCGTTCTCTGATGTCTCTGAGGAGATCGGCTCGTTGTTCGGCTTGGGCGAGGGCGTGTCGGGCGGCAGGGCCGAAAAAGCTCTATGTAGGCTGCTACGAGGGCGCAGAGTTGTGTTTGCTGCGACAACGGGAGCGCGAAGGAAGCTGGCCGAGCTGGAGGTGACGGCTCTCAAGACTTGGTTGCGGCATTGCAGGCAGCCGAGAGCTGCAAAGGCTGGTCTTGAGGCCATGCTTAATGTGTCGAGTTGCTGCAAGCCAGGAAACCGTTGGCTGCTGGATCGTGGAACTTTTTATTTTTTCGTTCGAAGTACCCGTAGCTTTGGCCCGGGCCAAAATTCTCGCCTAGAGCTTAGACAGGGACTTGGGGGGGCGGGTGTTGATTTGGAGGGACGTGCTTGAGGTGGTGAAGTGTATTACGTGATCGACCCTCTTCGGCAGGAGATGCTCCGCTGTCCCGGCGCCATTAACACGAGCTTCGAGCTTCTACTACAGTATGTAGTACAGAACGTACATTGAATGCAGTCGCCACGACTAGTCTCAATTTGTGTACGTATGAGCGCATCTGTTTGTCTTGTGAGGACAATCTCCAAGTATTATCACCTCAGTTTAGCACTGTAATGCTTATGCTGTTTCATAAAGCCGACGCACAGCGCACACACGAGCCTACCTAACCTTAGCTACCCAGGTAGGTACCGAGATACATATGCACCTACTACGATAGACGGCACTAAGCAGTATGTACTTACCCGTGAAAGGGAGAATGCAGTGGCGAATGAACATCGAGAACGCATCTCATTGGTCGAGAGCCCCACCCACCCCTTTTGGAGTGGACAGAATCCAAGGCTGGAAAAATTCCGTCAAACGCCGTTGGTCGTTCCATCCCGGCTAAGTGGGGCTAGAAGACCCCGAGTCAAGACGATTTAAGAAAAGGGAAAGAAAAAAAAAAAAAAAAAAAAAAGGGAAGGAAGAAGGAACCGGCGGCAAAATTCTGATAGCTCGCGCCTCTCCTATCGACAAGACAAGCTGCTGCATTTCCCCCTCGTATCAGTCTGCATCTACCACCACCACTCCCCGAAAACAAAAAAACCTTGCCTGTTGCACTTGCATTTGCAAACATCTATCTCCCTACATCGCGTCGCTGTAGATTCTTTCATTGTACTTTTGTAATATACTTGTCATTCTTTTATACCCTTTTCTATCCATTAATGCACCGACACATCTACTAGACACCCAACAGACTTTGCGCTGTTGCGCCAATCTTGACCACGCCACGCCACGCCATTCCTATTCCTTTGCTTCACGCCGATTATCGCGTGAGCTTCCAAGATGCTTCTCAGGAACGGCCGGAGAGGCCTGTCCCTCCATCATGTCACCGTCTTTCGACCCTTACGACCGACTCCTCGATTCGCCTTGACAACGACCAATGCGAGCGAAAGAAGCTACCGCTGCTTCACCACACAGCAAAACGCGCGTCCCATACCGAGACGGAACAGCTTGAGTGCTAGCCGTAATCTCGCCACTGCCGTCAACGAACCCCAGCCCGGCAATGACTCCCAGTTTGAAACACTCCACAACGCCGTCCTACCTCTCTTCCGGAAGACCGCGGCTGGCAGCCATGTTCATGAGCTGCGCGCTTTCGATCCCTCCTCGCCCCTGGTCATCGAAGAGGCGTCGATGGCTGCCGCTCGCGGGAAAGCAAACCTGGCTGGCATACCTGGTGATGCCGAGGAGATGCTCCTCGTCTTTCACGCTTGCATCCGTGTTGGCAAGATCGACCGCGCCGAACTTGTTCTCAAACGCATGACCTTCTACAATGTCTTTCCAGGAGAAGAACTCATCTTTCTTCACAACCGATACCTCCGCGCCTCTCTCGATCAGATGCGATCAAGGCCAGACAGGAAACAGGCAGAGGGCCTCCACAAATGGTACGAGCTGAACATCCGCGCCAAGGACTTGCCTCAAACTGCCGAAACCGTCGCCTGCATGCTCAAGGCCTCGCTGCTCTCAGAACACAAACTCGACAGACGCCGCCGCCTGGTGACCCGATACATGGGCTTGGCCCCCGGCGAGGCTGGCCTCCAGGTCCTGTCAATGGCAGACATTCTCACCGACCAGGATCTTGCCGTCATCACCGATATCTGCCCAACCTACAACCTCGCCCCCACAGAAAACGAGGTACCGGCAGACGCCGAAGCCGCCGAGTCCCCGATCGAATCCGCATCCGAGGAAGCAGCAAACCAAGCCGCCTCTACTCCGGGGCAATCTATGCCAGAGGTTTTGGCCACGCCCCAAAAGGGTTTCGGACTCAAAACGCTGAAGAATACCCTGAGTTTGTTCGACGAGATCCCCCAGAATTGCGACATCTCGACGTTGCCTATCCGCGAGCGAAGAGAAATCCAAGCTCGCCTTGAGCGTGACTGCGTCGATGCCGCTGTTGAGCGGTGGCGCGAGGAGAACGAGTCCTTGCAGAAGATGGGCCTCAACACCTCCGTCTCACACGCCTCCCTGAACTCCCGCCTATACGACTGGCAACTTGCCTTGGAGGCTCGGCTGAAGGAGGAGCTGGTCAGGATCGAGGCTGCCGAGGCCACGGCCAAGAAGACTGCCGAAGACTACGACCGATGCATATACGGCCCTTTCCTGCGCCTGTCCACCCCGAGCCGTCTGTCAGCTGTCACCATCCTGGGCACCCTGAGCTCAACCGCCATCGCTGGCGTCGATCGAGGCATGCCCATCTCCATCGCCATCGCCAACCTCGCCAGGCTGGCCGAGGAGGATATTAGAGCCCAGCTTGCTGCGAACCAGAAGCCGAAATCGAAGCCGAAGAGCAGGCGGGTTGTCATGACCAAGCGCGAGCGCAAAGCCTCGCCCGAGGAACCCTCCAAGCTGCTGAGTGACTCCGAGGCCAAGGCATCCCCCCTCCCCGACACCCCTTGGCCTCCTGCGGTCAAAGCCAAGGTCGGCGCCGCGCTGCTCTCGGCTCTCATCGAGACGGCCAAGATCAAGGTGGTGAAGGAACATCCCGAGACCAAGACCCTGATCAGCCAGTTTCAACCCGCCTTCTCCCACGTCAGCCAGCTGAAGAGGGGTAAAAGGATCGGCATGATGCTTCTGAACAAGGAGCTGGTCAATCTGATGAAGAGAGAGCCCCAGGGTGACTATCTTGCCAAGCATTTGCCAATGGTTGTTGAGCCTGCGCCATGGCAGGCGTTCGACAAGGGCGGCTTCTTGGAAAGCAGAGCGAACCTGGTTCGCATCAAACAGGGTGGCAAGGACCAGAAGCTGTACAGCGAGGCGGCTATCGCTCGCGGAGATATGGACCAGGTCTTCAAGGGTCTGGATGTCTTGGGCAAGACAGCATGGCGGGTCAACACACCTGTTCTCAATGTCATGCTCGAGGCCTGGAACACTGGCGAGGCTCTGGCCAACCTGCCTGCATTGAACCCTAATATCCCCGTACCCCCCGAACCCGAAGCGTCCGACGACCCGATGGCGCATAGAAACTGGGTCAGAGCCGTCAAGGCTGCCGAAAACGAACGAGGCGGCTTGCACTCCGTCCGCTGCTTCATGAACTTCCAGCTGGAAATCGCCCGAGCCTTCCGGAACCAGACCTTTTACTTCCCCCACAACATCGATTTCCGTGGCCGTGCCTATCCCCTGCCGACCTATCTCAATCACATGGGTGCTGATCACGTCCGTGGCATCCTCCGCTTCGCCAGGGGCAAGGAACTGGGCGAAGATGGTCTCAAATGGCTCAAGGTCCACCTGGCCAACGTCTTCGGTTTCGACAAGGCCAGCCTCAAGGACAGAGAGTCGTTCGCCATGGACAACTTGGTCAACATTTTCGATTCGGCAAACAAGCCGCTCGATGGCAACCGGTGGTGGCTGAAGGCCGAAGATCCGTGGCAATGTCTCGCTGCGTGCTACGAGCTCAAGGCCGCTCTCGAATCCCCGGAGCCCACAAAGTTCGTCTCCCATCTCCCGGTCCACCAGGACGGCACCTGCAACGGTCTACAGCATTACGCCGCCCTCGGCGGTGACTCGTGGGGTGCTCGACAGGTTAACCTCGAGCCCGGCGACAAGCCTGCCGACGTTTACTCTGCCGTCGCCAACATCGTCAAGGACCACATTGCCAAAGACGCCGCGGCCGGCAACGCATTCGGGCTGGCCATGAATGGAAAGATCACCAGAAAGGTCGTCAAGCAAACTGTCATGACCAACGTCTACGGTGTCACCTTTGCCGGCGCCAAGAAGCAGGTCTGCAAGCAGCTTGACGCGCTGTACCCGAATCTGCCTGAGGAGTCCGGGTTCTCCAGTCTCGTCCTTGCTTCGTACGTTGCCACGCTGGTGTTCAAGGCCCTGTCGTCCATGTTCAGCGGCGCCCACCACATTCAGTATTGGCTCGGTGAGATTGGCGGACGTGTTTGTAGGGCCCTGTCCGCCGAGCAGCTGGAGCGGATCAACAACGACAACCTCCTGCCTTCGCCATCAAAGACAACAAGAGCCGGTGACAAGAAGACGACGACCGACGACCTTCTGGCCCAGTTCCGCGCCACGATCGTTTGGACTACTCCCCTCCGTATGCCCATTGCCCAACCCTACCGCAAGAGTGGCACCCGCATCATCAAGACCTCCCTCCAAGAGCTGTCCCTAACCGTCCCTGAGCGCTCCGATCCCGTCCACCGCAAGAAGCAGCTCCAGGCCTTCCCCCCTAACTTCATTCACTCGCTCGACGCGACGCACATGCTCCTGTCTGCGCTCGAGTGCCACGAGCTCGGCCTCGACTTCGCCGCCGTCCACGACTCATTCTGGACTCACGCCGCTGACGTCAACGTCATGAACCGTGTTCTCCGTGACGCTTTTGTCAGGATCCACGAGGAAGACGTCATTGGCCGTCTCTCGGCCGAGTTCGAGGCCCGGTACCGCGGCTCGATCTACCTCGCCAGGGTTAACGAGGGAACCCCGGTGGAGAAAAAGATCACCGCGTTCCGTAAGCAGTCAAGGATGTCGTCCCGGGAGGAGCTTCTGATGGAGTACAAGAGGCAAACTCTCCTCCGCTCCTCCGACCCCGAGCAGGTCGCCGAGGGTCAGAAGATGGTCACGCCGGCCAGCATCTTTGAGGAGATGTCGGCCACCGAGTCCCTCGCCGAGCCTGAAGACATGGGCGGCCTCGGGCTCGGCGCCATCCCTGACAAGGCCGACGAGGCGGGCGCCCTCGCGGCCGAGATCGAGGAGGGCATCGACGACGAGATCGCCGCGGAGGCCAACGAGGAGACCGAAGCGCGCGACGGCGAGTCCCCGGGCTCCCAGTGGGCGTCGCAGATGCTGAACAACATGAAGATCTCGCACTTTGAGCAGACGATCATCAACAAGCCCAAGGCCGCAGAGTCCAAGACCAAACCCAAAACCATCCAGGTCTGGCTCCCCTTGACCTTCCCGCCTATCCCTAAGAAGGGCGACTTTGACGTTCAGCGCCTCAAGGACAGCGAGTACTTTTTCTCGTGAGAATAAAAATGGCACGGCCCCCCCCTCCTTTGCCCTGGTACGAATTGCGACGTGTGGATATTGCTTTTTAGTCACGGTCACGCATGAGAGAAGGTGATGAATTTGCATAAATTACCGGTTTGCATCTGCGAAGGCGTTGTTGAAAAGAAAACAAAAAAACCAGTACAAATTTGGTGTACAACGGAGGCGTTTCAAAAGAAGAAAAAAAGGGTCTAGCACAGATGGCTGTATAAATAGAGAGGAAGTAAGAGAAAGAGGGACGAATAAAGGAGGACGTTGACATGGGTCGATGATGTAGGATGGAATCTCTCACACCACACAAACATGGGGAGGAATGAGAGGGGGGGAAACAGAAACTATGTACCATACTATCTCCATCGTCCAAAGACGGGCGATGGGAATAGAATATTTATTAAAAAAAAACACTATTGTTCAAGTCTGTTGTTGTTCAATGATCTTGTGACTTGATGGAGGAATTCGTATGGATATTTGAATTTTTGGATCATGATGTATTTTATTGTCATTCCTGGTACTCGAGGGGGCATCTCCATTTCGAGCGTTTGTCCTTGATCCTATCAGGGCATATCCCGGGTAATCCAAATGTCGATCGAGTGTTTGTCAACACCAAACCATGGTCTTCAGGACTTGATAGAGATTGAACAAACGACCTCGGCGTACTCGCTACTCGATGGAAGACGTCTAAATGGCCATTCAATCGGAACGAGCCTCTGGGTTAGCCATTCCAGCTAGCCGACGCTTTCCCGCCGCATATGCTAAGCCCCGAAACCAGCCAGGTCGTGGCCCGCTTCACAACCGCGCGCCGCCCCTGATGGCCTCCCGCAGCATGGGGGCGACCTGCTTCCGGGAGGCGGCCACGTTGGCCTGGGTCCAGGCGGCGCGCCACTCGCACTCGCGCGCATCGTCGTCCAGCCGCCCGGCGCGCCAAGGCGCGAGGCCCAGCTCCCCCTTGCAGCGCTCGTAGAAGGCCTTGCACGAGACGACGGCGGCCTCGTTGAACGCCCACACGAGCACCTCCCTCTCGAGCTTGCCGCCGGGGTGCGCCGTCGTCATGATGACCCCGATGTCCAGCGCCTTCTCTTCGGCCCACTTCCGGAAGTCGCGCAGCATCGCCTGCTCGTCGCCGCCGGCCTTGTCGACGAGGTAGCCGAGGTTCTGTACGACGGCCGAGGTGCCCATGAGCTGACGGCCGCCACCGTCAGCGCTCTGGTCCTCCCACTGCTTGTAGTCCTTGCGGAAGACGTCGCGGAAGCTCAGCGAGGATATGTCCTCCTTGACGGCGGATATCTCGTCAAACAAGGCGTCGCGGGAGTAGGGCGCCGGGGCGAGGCGCTCGAGGAAAGAGACGGCGGCGACGTCCTTGTCGGTGGTCTTGTCCTTGGACTTGAGGTTCGTGGTGTCGATCAGGATGGCAGCGAGGGAGAGCTGGGCCAGGTGCGCGTCCACGTCGGCGTCGTCCCGGGGGTCGGCCTCGGCGAGGGCCTCCTCCCACGCCGGCCGGCAGTGCTCGACGACGAGGCTCGAGCAGCTGCCGCACGTCTCGATGACGCGGGGCTCGTCGGCCGTGTCGCGGGGCACGGCGCCCTCGTCGGCGTGGTGATCGACGCAGCCGACGACGCGGGCGGCGTAGCGGGCGGCGAGGTCGCCGGTGAGGGCGTTGTGGTCGACGAGCACCCAGCGCGTGTCGCGCGGGGCGAGGTCGTCGGGGAGGTCGTCGAGGGTGAGGAGGTCGTCGGGCGCTAGGCGGGCGTGGGCCAGGGAGGCGGTCATCTCGGTGCGCAGCTTGAGGTCATCGCGGGCGAGGTTCGAGACGGGGACGTGCAGGGTGTGCGGCGGGGCGTGGGTGCGGAGGTAGGCGTAGACGACGGCGGAGCAGAGGGAGTCGAGGTCTTTTTTGCGTTTGGCAACGGTGAAGCATGTCAGCTTTTTTTTTTGTCCCTTTTCTTTATCTTTCTTCCCTTCTGCTTCTTCTTCCTCCACACCCCACACACCCCTCGCACTTGTTGGTCCGAGGACTGGGATTCAAGGGGCCGCTGGCGTTTTCGTACCTGCGGATTCGTTGCCGACGACGAGGGTCAAGGGGCTTGCACGTTGCGACGCGGGGGCGGTCAGGGCCGATCTCGCGCGGGCGAGAAAGGCGCCGAGGGAGACCCTGGGAGGCATTGGAGCGGGAGGGACGGAGGGAATGTCAAAGAGTGCTCGGTGTAAGTGGAATCAATATGCACAATGCATGGGAGGAGGACGCATGAAGATTGCCGCCCCGAAGGAGTCTGTTGAAGCGCGCGGTTCCTCGTGGATTGGAGCCGGGATGCAATGAGAAGACTTAGTATCCGTATTATGTTCCTGGAAAGGTCGGGATGACGTCCAAGGTTGTACCAAGGTGTCTTATCACAAGCGAGCGCGGTCTCTTATCGCGCTCGTTTTCACCCCGCTATCGGTGGTAGCTGATGGGGGACATATGCAGCAATTGGCAGCGACATGTTACAACTGACTCAACCGCGCCCCCGCGACCCCTCCACTACCCATCCATGCCGGACCGCGGTCGGGGCGGGGAGCCGGCAACCTCGAGCAGCCACACACACACACACGACACACGCTTTGTCACGAGGCCTTCTTTTATCTCATCCTTTGTCGTCTTTTGTCTTCGTCCCGACTCCTATCTTTTGTATCGTACATATCCAACCGTCGCTCCCAGATATCGCCGAATCTCATTCTTCGTTTCGTATCCAATACATACTCTGTATATACACATAGCTACCCACCTAGGTATATATACATATACAGCACTCAAACACCAAATTCCTACACCAAGATGGGCTCTCAGCCACCCCGCATCCGCCTGGCCATCCTCGAGGCCGACACGCCGCAGCCGCAGACGGAGATCCAGTACGGCGGCTACGGCGGCGTCTTCACGGCGCTCCTCCGCACCGCCGCTCTGGCCGACGACCCGCCCGCGCCGCTCGACAGCATCGTCGACCTCTCCGTCTACCACGTCGTCGGCGACGACGCCGCCTACCCGGACCTGGACTCCGTCGATGCCATCCTCATCTCCGGCAGCAAGCACAACGCCTTCGACAACGACCCCTGGATCCTCAAGCTGGTCGACTTCACCAAGAGCTGCATCGACAGCGGCCGCGTGAGGGTCATTGGCGTGTGCTTCGGCCACCAGATCACCGCCCGCGCGCTGGGCGTCGAGGTCAAGAGGAGCGACCTGGGCTGGGAGGTCGCCGTGGTCGACGTCAATCTCACGCCCAAAGGAAAGGAGATCTTTAAGCTGGACAAGATGGTAAGTACCTTCCTGCCCTCCACCACCCTCCATTTCTCATCTGAGACCCCCCCCCCCCCCCCCCCCCCGGGCACGCGAGCGAGCGAGCGAGAGAGAGAGAGAGAGAGAGAGAGAGAGAGAGAGAGAGATCCATAGAGCTGACGCAATCACAGAGAATTCACCAAATGCACCGGGACATCGTCACGGCCAACCCTCCCGGCGCCGAGTCTCTCGCCTACACGGATCTGTGCCCCGTGCAGGGCTTCTACTCGCCAAAGAGGTTCATCACCGTCCAGGGTCACCCTGAGTTCACCGGCCCCATCGTCAGCGAGATCCTTAACGTCCGCCACAAGGCGGGCGTCTTCGACGACGAGACCTTCGTCGAGGCCCTCAACCGCGCAAGCATCGAGCACGACGGCGTCAACATCGCCAGCGGCTTCCTGCGTTTCCTCAGAGAATGACATGTTTCTCCCTCTATTGGGTGTTTAGCTAAATAGACTAGCGACTGATTTAGATACCAACTTTTTTACTAGTCGTTGTCCCTGCGTCGTCGCACTCGTGTCTGTCTGCCCCATCGTGAGACGGTCCCAAGAAACATATCATCGTCACTGTGGAAAATCCCTTTTCGCAGAAACCCCTGCATCAGTCTGACCCATGATATTTCTTTACCCAAAAAGAACGATCAAAAGGTTTAAGTGAACGATACAGACTTGATTTATCCTCACTTGTCTTTCCATACTCTACTGGCACTGCAAGTGCGAGTTGTTCAGAGAAATGCCTTCCTTCCTTCCCTTCTTCTCTCCTTCCCTCGGAGCAGTCTTGCCCACTCATATAGAATCGACTATAAGAAGTCTCTGATGCCTATCTAGCTCGCCTCCTCCCCTCCACCCTCACCCACCCTCTTACTCCCTCCCATCATCCCTTCCACCATCCCACCACCCAACGACCTACACCTATATTCCTATCCATCGCTTATCTTCTACTTAACCTCCATCCGACACTGCCCTCTACCTCTTCTAGGCTCCCACTTTACGTCGCTCTTGTCTACCCCAAAGCGACGTCTTTCCACCTCTGCGCAGTTTCTTCCGCCTCGTCTTGGGGTTTCGTTCCCGTTCGTACCTCCATATCTTTTAGGTGTTGACTTACTTCAACATCAGCGAAGCCGACTTTCTACAGTTCCCCCTCTGCGCCTAACTCTCTTGCCTTTTTTTACGGTAACAACAAGTTCTACTTCTACCGCTACTCTTTTTGAAGTTGGAAGACATCAAATACGGATCTACCATCTTCAAAGACACGTGAATAATCCATCGACCTCTTTGCGACTTCCCCACCGTATTCCTTGTCAACACCAGTCTCACAGCCTATCGCTGACAATGCTATCGAGTGCAGATAATCAGACCAAGTCCGCTCGTCGGCGGAAAGGTCCCTTCCTAGATGATACCGGGTCCGATTCAGACACCGATATGCCGTCTCATTACAAGACTCCAACAAGAGCAAACCGTGATCCGGTTCAGGAATTCAACTTCTTTGATGAGCCAATCGAAGAGTCGACTAATGATATGCGCAACGAAGACCACGCAATGGGAAACACTGAGCATGCTACTTGCCCGTCCCAGTCTACTGAGCAGTCTGAGCAGTCCGACCTTTTCGTTACGAATATGGAAGGACAGAGCGACGTTGCTCTGCCTGAGAAGGACAATATCAGAATCAAGTCTGAGCCCGATATAGAGGAGGAAAGCGAGCTTACGATCATCGACCACGCTGAAGCCTCTTCTGAAGCGCAGACGAAGTGGTCAGTTCCGCGGCGTCCCATCGTCATTGACTTGGCCACCGCGGTCAAACAAGAGCCATTGGCCGATGCCGAACCAATGATTCTAGACTCGGGAAGCCAGTCTTCCATCAAGGCACTCGAGCGAAGAATGAAAGAGATACAATCCAAAGCTCTGACAAGTCCTCTGACCAGCGACGAGTTTGCCGAGATGGCGCACATCATGACTCAGCTCAGTCAACCCGCGAAGGCCCCAACTACCGTCACATTGCCTGACCCCAATCATCATGAGCAGGAACCTAGCCAAGAAAATGACAAGAAGAAGAAACGAAAGAGGAGAGCCCCTGTAGCAAATGCAGCAGAATATTGGGCGAGGAGGGAGGAAGAGGAACAAGAGCGAAATGCCAAACAACAGAGTGACGTCCACAACAACACCTCAAGCAAGGCTAAACGGATAAAGGCCAAACAGACAAGAATCTTGGGTAACAATGGCAGTGATCTGGATGACGAAGAACTCGATAGTCTGATTGACAAAATGCTTAAGCCATACGACGCTATTCAGCACCGAGCAGATCAGGGAGACTTGCCTACAGCACCAACCATCACAGCAACCAGAACGAACGACCAACTGAAGCAGATGCGAGAAGCCGCCCCTGAGTATTTTGATAAAAATTTTCTCGACAAGCAAAAGCGAGAGCTTCGACAGGCTACAAGATCTTGGGGGCCTCATGCAGTTCACTGCAAGGACGGCAAATGGGAAGTCAAGGGCTTGGTTACTCCGCTCTTGAATCACCAGCTCACCGTCGGAGCCTGGATGATGGGCCAGGAGCTGAGAACAACGCCAAATCTGCCAAGAGGAGGTATTCTTGCCGATGCCATGGGGCTGGGAAAGACCATTGAGTCTTTGTCCTGCATTGTGGGCAACCAAGCCTCGGATAGTCTCAAGGAAGCAGGGAAGGGAACAACACTGGTGATTTGTCCATCAGGGCAAATGATCAGCCAGTGGATTTCCGAGGTCAGAAAGCATTGCAGCAAACTCTTTTCGAGGAGCATTATTCACTTCAAGTCCGGAGGTAATATGGACGCTAATTTTCTGTCGTCTTTCAACATTGTGTGAGTTCACACCCAGATCCATAATGTGAGCTTTGTGCGTCGGTAAGACCTAACACTGGAAACAGTTTCGCCAGTTACCATCAGCTGAGAGCCAGCACCCCCTCGAAACAAGAAAGGGAGATGATGAAGATACAGCTTACGGATCCAGGCGAGTATGAAAATTGGCTGCAGGAGCAAACAGGGGTTCTTCATCGCATCGAATGGCATCGAGTTGTTCTTGACGAAGCCCATTGCATTAAGAATCACTTGACACATGGCAAGTTACAATGAGTTCTTTTTCAAACATCACGCTAATTATGAAACAAAAGCGGCGCTTGCGTCCTTCGAGCTCAAGGCCAAGTATCGTTGGGCGGTGAGCGGAACTCCACTCATCAATGCATCTCATGGTAAGTTTTCCGCCTGATGCTTCGATATACGTTGACTGATGCTTCGAAGAATTCTTCTCTTACCTGAAGTTTATTCGATGCCCAAAAGTGGGCGATTTCAGTGACTATCTTCGGGAATACGAAGCCGGCGTAAGGTGACTGACTGTCCCTGCTCGAGAGCTATGCCTGCTAACTCACTGAAGCCTAAAACTCTAGAAAAGCGCAACAAGCTTGCCAGCAACGTCATGTACCGGAGGTAACAAACACATGCCTTCAAGTAAGTTTGGAGAGCTACTGACAAGCTATAGAACACAGGGCGACTTTTTCCTTGGGCAGCCAATCTTGAACTTACCGACTACTCACCCGACGCACCAATATCTAACCCTTTCTGCAGAAGAAATGGTGGTTTACAGGTAAGATCAACCGCCCATTTGTGAAATCCTCCGTACGTACTTACGGAAGGTAGAATGATGGAGAGGTGCTTCAGAAACAAGGTCAATCAAGACCTAGAGAATGGTAAAGCCGAGAGTCAAGTCAAATGCTACTTGACAATTTTGCTCCGTCTGAGACAAGCTGCAACCCACCCTTTCCTGCTCGAGAGCATGATGGGAGAATACTTCTCTCTGAAAGACTTGCAAGTAACCAAGGAAAAGCTCCAGGCACTCAAAGGCGGTGCTACCGTCTACGCCCAGATCGGCACATGGACTCAGAGGCAAACAATAACCGATGCGCGTATCAAGAAGGTATACGACGAAGCAGAGAAGGTGAAACAGCAAAGGCTTCAAAATGCCCGCAAAGGAAGCTTGGAAGCGATGAACATCCGACTCAGCGAAGGTGAGAAGCGAGACGAAATACAAACGAGCACTGTCCAAGACACAGTCACCTCGCGAAACGATGCAAACGTGGTCGACGATTCCGATGAGGTGAACAGTCAAGACGAGGTAGAAGAGGACGAGAACGGCATGGCCCCTCAGAGAACCAGATCTGGTCTCGAAGTCGAATCTGACAGCACAGCTCCTATCGCCAAAGACGAGCCTCAACTCGATCCCTTCGGCCGCTCCGACTTCGGCTTGGTTTTCGACATGAGCAAGCAAATAGAGTATCTTGAGAGGCTCAAGGAGATTGACAATGCCGTTTGCGTTGCATGCAAAGCCAAACCCCCTCTGGTGCCCGTCAAGGGACGCGTAAGTTCATTTCCAAACTTGCTCCGGTTTGAAGCACATACCTGACTGACATGACAAGTGCGGTTGCATCTTTTGTGGTCACTGTGTAATGGCACATTTAGCAAACAAGGTACGCAACCAGGTGTTTGAAGGAAACCACACACTGCTGACGGCCTGTAAGGGGAGAAACTGTCCTAAATGTCGTAGGATCATTGGCATTGCGAGGCCATTTGAAGCCTTCAGGGGCGATGACACGGACGAAGAGCGTGAGAATGATGCTAGCATGCCCCAAGAAAACACCAGAGACAGTGAATATTCGAAGGGTTTTGATTACACTGGGTTCCAGCATCCAGAAGACGACAAAAAGAACAAGAAACCGATTAGATTCTTGCAGATCAGCGACAAGAGACCCGGTGTGCCTTTAACTCCCAGCGCCAAAATGACAGCGCTCAAGGAAACTATTCTGAGATGGCAGGCGGAAGCTCCGGACGACAAGATCATCAGTGAGTATCATTTACCTATCTCTTTTTGCGTGATGCATCTTTAACGCATTGTTCCTCAGTCTTCAGTCAGTTCAGTGTCGTCATGAAAATCATTGGCCGCATCTTGGAGTCGGAAGGCATCTGCTTCGCCTACCTCAGCGGCAAGCAGAACACGGAGCAGCGCAACAAGGCTGTAGACGAATTCCAGAACGGCAACAGGGTCAAGGTCCTGATAGTCTCTCTGCGTGCTGGAGGACAGTGTCTCAACCTGACGCGCGGAAACCGAGTCATTCTCATGGAACTCTGGTGGAACCACGCCGTCGAGCAGCAGGCCTTTGCCCGCGTTTTTCGCATCGGCCAGATCAAGGAGACTCACTTTGTCCGCTTTATCGTCAACACTCCCATTGAGAGTCGCATGCTTGAAATGCAGGTTGGAAAGATACTCGCCATCGATGAGGCCCTCCAGGACGAGGCGGTGAGAGCGCCTAAAATTAGCCTGAAAGATATCGCCAGTCTCCTGGGTAGGGTGACGACGCGGGGCGATGGTTGCATGCACATTGAGCCTGATAACTACGACGATGAGTATAGCGACGATGAAGTTCCTACGGTTGAGGACGAGCAGAGCGATCTGGACGACCTCGTTGTCCCCGACGACGTGGTTGAGTACGAGGATGCTGAGGAAGGCGGGTTGACCTCCGATGACGAGTAATTTCGTGGCCAAAAGACACGATTACGAGAAATCAGCGAAGAGATGAACACGGCCAATTTCTACATGATTGGTTCATTTACACGAGAATGATTCTACAGGGAGCATTTACGTCTAGTTGGCTCAGCGACGGAGCCCAGCAACATACAGCAGCAACAAACTACGAGACATTTCGACGCTTCCAACAGAACAAGCGTCAAGCGACATTGAAAAAAGGAACACGCGATACTTTCATCATTTTTTTATTACTTTGAGATACGCTCGGTGGTCAGATTGCCAGGATTTGGCGAACAATGCAGCCACGGTTGGAAAGCCGACAACGAATATTGGTCAGGGAGCGGACATATCCTCGATCTGATGCTTCCGACAATGCGCAGACTTTGCAGCGCTAGCATGTCACTGCAATAAGACACGCAGCATGTGTTGCTGGCCTGAAGTACTACGGTGGAGCCGTTGAGCCTTCGTACGTTGGCATCAAAGCACCACGCTCACCGAGAACATCGGCTGACTTCTTTGATATTAGCATTTAGAGTCTGATGGTTGCCGCGAGCGCCGCGGATGCCGCGCATCTCACGTTTGGTTCAATATTGCTTGCGTTTTTTTGCAATGCGCATTGGCTATTATGATTTGCGGCTTGGGTTTCTGATTTTCTTTTTCTTTTTTTGCTGTTTAGTTGAGAGTTGATCGGGCCTGAGACTTTAAGGATGGCACCTTTTGAGAATGACTTCATTTGAGGATGGCAATGTGCCTTGGGTCATCTTTTGCCTCGTTAAAGCGGTTCGCGGCTTTGGGGCTTTGGGCATTCTCTACATAGAACGGGGGGCGGGCTAGATAGATTTAGGAGGGTTAATGCCATCTGGTTCATAAAATCTTGGCCCGATTGATTGATTTGAGGAGCACGGGACGAGCTAGAATGTTGCGACGTTAGCCTTCAAACAGCAAAGGGCAGATGGGAGGAAGGGGTGACAAGCGGATGGGGGGGGGACGACGTCCTCATCGCCGTGGATAGAATTTCGGCCCTCCCCCCGCCTCCCCACCTCTTTCTCCGAACTATGCGGGTTGTGTGGGGCCAAAGCGAGGCCCGATGCCTGCCGCCGGCCGTACCCCTCCCCTTCCCCACTGCCATCGGACTCTGCGGATTCGGATGTTGCCGACACTACCCCCTCCCCGCAAACCTTAGTAATCCCCGATTGCAACCGGGCCACATGTGTTGAATGGTGAGCGAACGGCAGAAGGCCTCACAAAATTATATTTTATTTTACAGGAAGACTCGTGGAAATGGCATGCCTGACTGATTGATCAGGTCGAAGAAAGTTTCATTCAATTCATTGTGGTATCAAGGCGAGAGATAAAAACAAAGAAAAAAAAAAAAACACAACGCAGAAAAATGACTACGCTAATGATGATGTCCTTCGTCCGACCCGTTGGCGGATCTCGTCCTTGTCCCGTCCTTTCTTGGACGGCGCCCTCCTGTACCTGGCCCGCCTGTCGATCCACGGCTTCTCCACGGCGCAGAACAGGCACGCGTTCACCAGGCCCTGTATTGACAGGCTCACCAACGACAGCAACACAACGGCGAAGGGACCCGCGTCCTCCGGGTTGTCCCAGCGCATGACGTGCGCGACAAAGGGCACCGCCCAGATGAGGATGTAGACTAGGGGGTACACGAAGAGCAGCCGCAGCTGACGACGGATCTTGTCGCGGGTCTTGGTCATGCCCGTGCCGTCCATGGCTGGATGGAAGAGGAAAGGGGTTGCGTTGTGTTCGGGGTCCGATTCGATGGTCGTCCCACGGCGGAGAATCGACCAGATGTTGGCCAGCGATTTGGCGCGGGCGCTCGTGTTCGGACTGCTCGGCGGCTGCCAGTACGTGGTGAGACTTGCCTGTCGTTGGTAGTGGGGTGTTGGGGGGCTCATATCGGCGGTGTCGCGGCGGATGTAGCTCTGGGGGGGCGGCGAAATGGGCTCGAAGGTGGGGCAACGGGGACTGGTGCTGGGTTCCAACGCCCGGGGCGAGAGGACGACATCCGACACGGGAATCTGCCCGTCTCCGTCGGTGCCGTATGCCGGCCAGTTCCACGTAATCTTTTGACGGCTGTGTAGGAGCTCGATCTCGGCCGTCATTGTTGTGGCTTCGGATGAGTTGCGACGTTGCTCCGAGCCCTCCATGGAGGTCTCGGATCCACGGCGAGAGATCGGTGTGGCGGGCACCGAGGGGATGTGAGCCCAGTGCCCGTCGTCTGGCACCTGTGTCGCACTGGCTCGCCTCATGGCACTGAGGCGACCGAAACGCCGTATGCGCAGCGTGACGTATATGTAGATGTAGGCGTACAGCGCAACGATGGTAAGGAGAATCAGGTAGCGTGGCACCCAGCTGAGGACGAGCCTCGGCCACTCAGGACGGATTGGCAAGTAGCAGTATTCGCCATTATTCACGTAGCCGGGCGAGTTGACAAAGGCCAGAGAGGCCATCAGGAGTGGAAAGAGGGCGAAGACGCTAAATGCAAGGCGGCGGTGGGGATACAGGCCGCTCTGGCGTCCGGACTGTCGGGGTCGAAATATATAGATTGCCGTGTGGAGAGCGATGAGAACGACGGCGATATCGGATGCCTCTATGCCGACGGCGAGGAAGAAACCGCTCGCTTGGCAGAACGAGGACCCTGATGCGACTGAACTCGTCTTAAAGTCGACGATGGGGAAGATGATGAACCATAGCGACTTGAGCATGTCACTTGACATGAGGAGCATGATCAGGCTGGTTGTTTGTCAGCAAGGAATTCCCATATCGAGGCCAGTCATCTCTGGCTTGGTTTGAAGCTGGGGGGCACCGGTGGGCCGAGATGAACTCACTCATGTCTGAAGCTCCGCCTCATGCGAGAGAACCAGTAAAAGGCGAGGGTGACAGATGCCAAACTTAGCGCGGCGACAGCTAGCGATGTAGACTGAATAATTGTCCATTGCCGGTCGGTCAGGCCGCTGGGCATGATTTCATAGGCCGGGGTCAGGCGGGCAGCGATGATCTCTAGAACAGACGCAGCAGGGGGTGATTGCGATGCGTCGCTGTCTCGAGGCCATGGTGCCATGGCGGTTGAGGATCCCCGGCGGCCAGTCGCAGCCTGGGAATGGAGGGAAGAAGTCGGTTTACGTGGGAGGCTTCGGGTTCCTCATGGTCGTGGCTGGTGGTGGACGAGGAAGCCGTCGTGTCTCGAGGTTTGCGGGACGGAACTTGAGTTGTCGGGTTGGTCTCAAGCCCTTTGTTCTGCTATCCGTCCAGTTCAGTGCCGTTGGTCTGTGGTCGTTTGATATCCACCCAGGTATCCTCCGCTGTGCAAAGCTCGCTACTCCAACGGCCCGAACTGACGATGATAGACCAAGCCTTGCGATAATAATAAAACGATTGGGCGGGAGATATTCTGCCCGACGGGTTGTGTTGTTCGACTCGAAATGGTGCTGTAAATAGATAATACTTTCATCCGGAACTTCACCTTGGCGGATGTTGGTCGCAGCACACCAAATCGGGGATTGGATGTGAACCGTGGACGTTCGTTTTGTTGAATAGCAGCAATCGGTCGATAACTACAGAGATATTTCTCTCATGGTCCCAGAAGGAGCGTGGGCGGCCAAGTGCAAGGGGAGATGGGCAAGGGTGTTATAACTGATGGATGCTGCGGCACATGGAAGCAAGCCTTCTTTATGGAGAGTCTTCAGCTCCGAGAGCGTGGTGGGTGGAGATGAGGTCCGCCCTCCGTCAAGCATGGGGTTGCCGCTCAGGAAAGGGCGACAGAAGCTTAAAAGGGACGGACGCAAGCAAGACAATTGAGCACGAATAGGGGAGGCGACAGGTGGAGGCGCTCGGAAAAAGCAAGACAGGTGGTTTAGCGTCGTGATTCGAGGCTTTTGGGCGGAAGCTGACTCGGCCAATGAACGGCAGGCGAGTTCAATAAGTACTCGCGCGGTGTGTGCGTCTGTGTGTGTGCGCGTCGATCGTGTGATGAGGGGGGTGTCAGCGGCACGGGTGTGAGCCGAGCAAGCGAGCATGCGTTGAGTTTGGCCTGGCTGGGTCGAGCGGACTAGGAGGTGACGCCAGTGTGAGAGAGAGTGAGAGGCGAGTGAGAGTAGGTAGGAGTGTCTGTGTGTGTGGTGGGCGGTCAAGGTCGCCAGACCAGAGGGGTAAAGTGTGGTGTTAAGCGTCTCGAGTGTCGAGTCAATGATTTCGAGTTTGCGACACATCTTACACTATATTAGGCGAGAGACAAGAGAGAGACAACCAGTTGCTGGATAACATGGTGCACAAGGGGGGCAACGAGAAGACTGGGCTGGGGGAGGCCAGTGGTCTGGTCTGGCCTGGTCTGGAATGGTCCGGTCCGCGAGGCGCCAGATGACAAACAAAAGCAAATAGGATGCGTTGGCTCCCTTTCTCGATTCTTGTGAAGGGCGAAGACGCAGAAACGAAGCGACGAAGTAAGCGGTGATGGATGATGGATGATGACGATGTGCATCGTCCCGTGTGTGGGATCCGACGAGGGTCGTGACATGTCCGCGTGCGCGACGAGGTCAGAGGTCTGCCGACGAACTCGATGCAATGCAGCCAGCCGACAGCGATTGACAAGGTGCCAGTGCCGAGGGGCGAAGAAGGCGGCAATCAATTAGGTGTCGGCACACATTAGCAAGCTCTGGATAAATGGCGAATCCAGTGACCAGATCCAGCGAGGCGAGACAAGTGACGGATAGTGATTACCGTAGTGACGAGACCAGCGCCACCCACCAAGAGCGCGCCTTGGCTGAGTTCCGGCGATGGTTTGGTCATGCCGGCCGGCAATGAATGCGTTGAAGGAAAGGTAAGCGGGGAAAGTTGGGATAGCCAAACTAAGGCAAACCACCGGCCGGCAGATGCCAAACGTGTATCGTACCCAGTAGAGCAAGCAGGCAGAGTATCTCCATCGCACGGTGACTGAGAAATGGGATGTGGTTGTCTGGCAGTGGTGGCCCTCCCATGATCAATCGCGTTCCAAGAATGCGGAGGGACCCGGCGACCTGGGCATCCTTGCTTGGGTGGTGGGCCTTTGCAAGGCTCGTTGCCTGTGGCCGGGAGCGGCACGGGACAGGGCAGGGCAGGGCAGGCGAGATGCTAAGATTAAACCCAAGATAGATGGATCGTAGATGAGCCGGCATAACATAACGGTGAAGGAGGGGGCCAAGCCGGTCTCTCTGTTTAGCCTTGTGCTATGAAGGGGGGGACGGCGCGTAGCATGGTCGAGGCGGGTACCCCATGCATGTGTGGTATAAGGTTATGCCTCGTCTTGCATAAAACGATTCTGTTCGGGATATAGTATAAACTCGGAAGAAGGGCTGAGCGGAGAAGCTGCATCGGTGAGGTGTCGACATGGAGCTCGGGCTTCCGGGCTTGTAGTGCGTGCTCGATCAAGACGGAAGGGAAATATGGGTGATGATGATGTTGTTGTTGTTGTTGTTGTCGGAGAGGCATGTCGGTTTCCCGAAGGGCATTTTCTGGATGCGGATAAACACGGCCGGATTTTGTGCTTGGACATGGGAGGAAGCACAGCACGGCAAACGCGTTCATTCATTCGTTCATTCATCCATTCATCCATTCGATTGACTCGAAGAGCCCAAATGCCGAACGTGGTTTGAACCCAGGCAGGAGCGGGTTGGGTTGGTTGCTGGGTGAATGAATTGCTTGGCGCGAGGGAAGCAAGAGCGAGTGAGTCACGAGTGAAGAAGCCGGCGGCTAGGGATCTGGCCCGGGTATGTAAGATGGGCCGGATCAGGAGGAGGCAGGAGCAGGAGGCACGATATGGCCTTTTTTTTTTCTTTCTTTTCTTTTCATGGTGTTTTCACTTTGCCCCCTCCAACTCTTAGAATCCGATGTAGCCAGCGAGAGAGTCTGTATTCCTACCCAGTACTCTGTGCATTGGGTACATCTCACCGGCCGTTCCGTCGGTAGAAGTAGCCGGACAAGGAACTAGCATAGGTACCTACCTAGCTACATATCCGGGACGAGGCACGTACTGCCTTTCCTATCTTACGTACCTACCTTACGTACCTACCTTACCTGTCTAGGTAGGTAGGTACGTGTAATGTCGATTGGCGCACGGATCAGAAGCTGGCAGGGGACATGGGGCACCGCACCTGCCTACCGTTCTCGCCCCCAATGCAATAAAACGTCATGTCCTATTCGTAACTGCCATTTCCAATCCCCATCGTTGTCGCAGTCTGCTGGCCCAAGCGTCACATCACGTCCGATGCCTCATGGCGAGGACCTGGTAAGAGAATCCGGCAGCTAAGCACGTAAGGTAGGTGCCTCCTTCCTAGCCAAGTAATTACCTTGGCACACCACACACCCACCCACACTGCCTGCCGAATGCACGACACGGCGCTCCGAGCGCGGCGGTACGTACCTTGCCTTCCGAGCGTGGCTCCTACCTACTACCGGTACCTACCTCAAGTACCTACCTCCGGCAGGTAGCTACAATCGTATAATTGCTACGTGCCTATCCCCCCGGTCAAGGTTCCTCTCCCCCCTGCCATAATTTCTGGCCTTGTGTGAGACAGACCAGCCACCCACCCCCTCGGTTATCCTCCCCGCCCTTGAGCCTACGCCCGCTGGCTTGTCCGCATACGTGCTCGCCCGGCTACGGATACATACGCTTTGAACCTCTCCATCTTCATTTGCGTCCGATCGCTTGGGACGGGAGCCCATCTGACGGCCCAACGAGCCTCGAAGCGCGATACACAAGAGGACGACTTCCGGGCGTCAACCTAAGCCACCGCCAAACTACCTGAGGTAGCCGCCTACTGTGCAGTACAGTGCTGCGTAGCACACAGCACCCACGACCCTTGGCTTTTTCTTGGCGTCTCTCCCTATGCAGTCACCCTCATCGGAACGCTCTTCCGCCATGTCTCTGTGGTTGGAAACAGGTCTACGTCCCGTCCGGATATTTTCTTTTTCATGTCGCGGCATCAAACCCAGCATTTCCCCTTTGGGCCCGGCAGCAGCAGAGACATGGATGGGTACCAAGTACGGATAGTCTAGGTAGGTAACCCCCCCCAAATGCCATTTCCTATTGGACTACGGAGTACATCTGTTTCGAGATGGCCCGTCTCATCTCGCAGATCGCAGACTAAAGTACAAACTTGCCCAGATCACAAGCCCAAGACAAGTCTCGACGCCCTCAAGGACGGCTTGCCGGCATCCAGCTCGAGACCCGTCTGTCACTCCAGCCCTCCCTCATCCACACGCCCGCACGACTCTCCGCTAACCTGTTTTTTTCGTGCATACGGGCAGAGCCGACCTCGAAGGCACAGGAGGGGCTTGCGCTCTTCATCTCGAGTCTACGAGGCCAGACGGCCCCCACCAGTGCACCACAATCAACCCCGCCTCGGTTAGACTCTAGGCCCTGACGGAATCACTATCGTGGCACGCATCCGACCTCGTCGTCCGTCTTGCCCAATGGTCCATTCGAACCCACGGAGCCAGTTGGTAGGCGTCGACCGTCGTCCACCAGGCTTGCCATTTTGCAAACCAGTGGCTTGCACCTGTCGGAACCCCCCTTTCCAGCTCGACTTTGCACCCAATCAGATGAAAAAGAGGCCCGCTCTCAAACGTCAACTGCCATTTCAGCAGTGCGTGCAATCAGACATCCAAGGGAACAGACACCGATTACGCATGCATGCGCCCATTCTCCAACTTCTGACCCCAGCTCTCGGCCTCGGTTTTGGTTCTGGCCCTAACCTCAATCAATTCACGGTTTCTTTGTTTGTTTGTCTCGGTGAGCCGCTCTCAGTTCTCCCTGGTGCTGATGGCCAACAGCAGTCCATGCTGCAAGCTCATCAATTTATCGTTGGCGCTATGCAGAATGCTGGTTGCGAGCATTGTCAATGATATCCGTGCCACCCCGGTCGCAGGTGGAAAAGCTTAACCTTCAGACTGGGACTTGAACATCGTTGTCGGTGAGCAACTCGACGGGGGTCCCCCTACCAGTCATCCAGTCTTGAGCGCCGCTTGCCATGCTTGGACCGACCTGGAACCAACATCGCATCTCCAATTGATTACGCAACGACTTGGAAACAGCATAATACCGTATTTGTCCGCGTTCGGATGCCGCTTCAATTGTTCGTTACCGTAATTCCCTCATTGCCGATTCACAGTAAACGAAGCAGTCAGTGGCTTGTCGTTAACCCACAACACGTCATTCGTCCGAGCCGGTCGCTGGCATCACATCCCCATACTGCCCATGTCCCCTCTCCGATCTACCTATCTACGCCCGTGCCCTATTGGGCTCAGTCTCGGTCTCCCCGCCCTAAGAAAAGAAAGAAAAAAAAAACCGAGGCAACGCACAGTCATCACCTCTGCGAACGTCTGCTGCTGCGGGGTTGAGTTTTCGGATTACGACTCCGACTCCGACTCTGGTTTTCCAATCCGGAGGGCACATCCAAAGGTGCGCTCTCTGACCCTGTTTGAAAGAAACCGTTGCGCATACACTTTCATTCCAGCCATTCGACGACCAAGGTTTGCTCCGTCGACTTTTCCGACCAGTTGTCTGCTGCGGTCAGGCCTTTTGGTCGTAGAGCGACATTCCGAGACCAGCTTCTATTATGCTTTCAACCACTGTGCCTCGGGGCGTTTATCGATTCTCAACATGCTATTATTGCATTCATCCACCCGCCCGCTTACCAGAGACGCCACAGACACGCTGTGTGCGTACAAGACGCTCTCGAATACAAACCTAGGCCTCAATCTCAAATGTCCGGCGGGAAGAGATACATACCGTCGGTGCAGCGCACACGCCTGCCTGTCTAGCTACCGCGAGGCTGCCTGATAACTGAGATATCAAATGTGAAGCGAACAGGGCCTACCAAGACCGAAATATGGGTCAAAGACGGTCTGTCTCTCTTCGCACGGGTACACGATGATAATCTAGCACAGTCGGAAAAACATAGTCCAAGTCTCATACCCAATACTCACCACAACGATAGGTTTCTACAGGGCCTGAGAAGACGCCTTCCACTTTGCTTCTTAGTAAATAAAGCACGCCGAGTCTGCAATCTGTAGCGCGGACAAGCAACCACTGTTATGCCCTTGGACTGGTAGTCTCAGGTTTCTTCCCAACAAAACGAGTGGAGGGGGCGTAAAGTGTTTGACAAGCTGGCGATGATCCTCAAAACAAGCAATCGAGATCTCAATTCCCGGCCGATCAAAGCGGGCTGGATAACTCTCTTCTGGGTAGATTCATGCTACCGGTACATGTATCTCATTGTGACATAGTTGACAGAACTCAATATCTATCTCCCTTGTCGAGCTGATGCCTTGTTGAAGAAGATGGTCACAGGTCTCAACCAGTTTTGACACGCACACTGCCGAGGATCTCATCATGGTAGGAAGAGGAGGATTGAGATGAACTAAATCCATGGGGAGGAAGGACGTTGTTTCAAGCAGGCGATCTAAAAAGCCGGTCCACCAATGTGAGCGGCTGAGAGTGACGGGCAACGCTCTGATCGCCGCAGGGGACCAACAGGCATATGAGATTATTGAATACCAGGACACGGACCTCTTTCCCCTTTTGCAGTGACTTTTGTTGGCTGAGCAATCAGAGCTTACGGAATAGGTTCCGGAATGGTTTACCTATTGAATCGACGTTGAAAACCATGCCTGGCTGGTCCCCCCCCCTCCCCACCAATATCCAACAGTCGCCATCGGATCCCCAAATGGCTTCTGAGGAGCCCCTGGGAGGAGGGAAGAGCCGAAGTGAAACACGCCGTCAGTCAGCGGAAAAGAACTCATGGACGGGAAGTACCAAAAGTTTAGGCGAGCTCTCCTTCACAGACCGTCTCTTCGTCATGTCTCTCCTCACCACTCGACGTCATTTCGATATCACCGGGGGGACCGGGCATTTTCTCGCCAAGGCGCATAACGGAGTTTACTCCGTTTTGGGGGAGGGGGGAGCGACAGAAGTTGAATTTCCCGAAGCAAACTCCCTTGCGCGAGCTTAACCCTTTGCAAGTTCCTTCAGAAGAGATATCCGGTCCTCTCGTAATCATCCATACGTCGACGCTAGGCCCCGTATCGATCCATCAACCATCGGGCGACACCGACCGGCAAGATCCCGGAAACCCGCCCCCAACCTGCGCAACGATGAGGCCGACAGTGCTTGGGGACTTTCTTCGCCCCTCACTCTTGTAAAGAAGAAGAAAAGAACAAAGCCAGAGCCTTTGGTTGGTGGGGATTATCATGTTCTGGACTAGCGGCAGTGCGTTCGCTGTATGCTTCCGGCTTGTAATGCATCAAGGGTTTGGGCCGTGTCGATCGTGCGGTTCACCCAACCCATGAAGACTAAAAATGTAGGACAAGGGGGGGGGGGGGGGGGGGGGGGGGGGTCCTCGAAAAGGAGGCCTTAAAGCTACTCACCGTGTGAATTATCGCGACGTCCCCATAGCGCGCATTGCCTGGATGCCAAGCTCGGCTGTTGTTCTGTCAGTGTTTTTCCCATGACAATCCCATGACGGGAACATTGCGAGATTCCTCCGACTCCCCCCTATCTACCGTAGCTGAAGCAAGCCACACAACCTCACCCCCTCCACCACCCCTATCTTCCCAAGAACGCCGTATGGTTTGCCGTTCGAGCCTCCCTCCCCTATAAGTAGATCAACTCTGCCGAATGTGCGGCTTTAGCCGGTGGACATTGTTTTGTTTCTGTTTTGTTTTTCCGACATATCACCGTCCCACGCGAAAGAAAAGGGGCGGGGAAAGTAACTCTGGCATGATGTGCCTCGGCAGATGGAGTTTGCCAGAATTGGGCGACTTCAGCCGGTGGACTTTTTTCCCCCCCTTCATTTCGCCCAAAAAGGATGGGGTGGGTGGAAGCAGTCCGTCCCGTTTACCACGTTTCCCCCTTCCCTTCAGTTCAATTTACGGATCACTTACGGGTCGCTTACGGGTCGCTTACGGGTTTTTTACTATCAGGAGGATGTGTTTGCGGCGCCCGCGCGCCGGGGGGGGGGGGGCTTTATCGCCCGGCAATACCTTACGCCATCGAAACTCATCTGAGAGCGTCCGTGTCGCGACGGAAGGGTTGCGGGTTGCGGGGACGCGGCCGTCTCCCGGAAGGGGGTAGGGGGGGGAGCGAATCCTCTGGGGAGCGAAAGAGGATCCTGCGTCCTTTGGCGAGCTGGCGGCATGTGAGGAAGGGAAGCTGTTTTTCTGTTTTCTTCTTCTATTTCTGGCGCGATGATGGGTTTTGCGTGTTGTCTAGAGACGGTGATTTGTTTTGGGGGAGGGGAGGGGAGGGTGGCGGGCAAAAAGGCAATCGTGATGGAGCCCCCCCCCCACCCTCCTTTTTTCCCCCTTCTACTCTTTCTGGCTTCTTGGCCCTTGACTGATGATGGTGGAGGGGAGGTCTCTGGGTTCCTCTCCGGGGCGGCGACTTGCTGGCGTCGGTTCAGTAGGGGATGGCTGCGATGTGAAGCTTCGCGATTCGCTTCTTCAAGAGTAATATATGCCTCTCAGGCATTTGGCCCATGTTGATGACTTCTCTTTATTCACATGGAACATGATGTCGCCTGCGTCATTGGCATGGTCTTTGTGAGAATCACGTCTCTTTAATCATCTATTTTGTGCTGCTCCATCAAAACGACTTGTCCAGTCTGTCAGCCAACCCATGTTTCCTCTTTATATATATAAATATATATATATATATATATATACATTCGTGAGAGAAACCTGAGAGATTTCCATGCCCGTGAGCTTCGAAGAGATTCTTCCAGTCCCCATGAAGAAGAGAGCGCGTGTCAGGAAATATAGACCCGCATAGTCGCCTGCCGTGGCCGTCGCTGAGGTTTTCGCCTCCAAAAGTAGCTCCTTGAGTCTCTGTGTCGCATGTGCTTTGGGGGGGGGGGGGGGGGATGGAATCGAAAATGAAATCGAAAATGAAAACGAAAAGCAAGCCGATGGGGTAAAAGCAAAAGAGAAGCGAGTCGCCAGGGTATCTAGAGGTAAAGTCAGACGGCCTAAATAGAAATCGGGAAAACCAACTTCTCAACGCTCCGCTACCACAGCCGTTCGTTCGTTATGTGGTATGGCAGCTCTAGAAACATTCCACCCACCGAGACCCTGTGAAAATAGATCCATCATTTAACACCCTGCGGGCCCATCTCCCGTTCAATGTCGTCGACGACCCGCTGCTTGAGCGTCTGCCACGCGACGGGGGCAGTGAGGGCCATGACTTCGAACTCGCTGTAGACCTCAGTAACGCGGCCGTTGTCCTGCAGGATATGCTCAATGTCCTTCGTCTTGCTGTTCTGAAGGTCGGTGATATAGTCGTCGATGGTGCCCCGGGCCTTGATCACGACGGCGTGCGAGGGCTTCAGCTGGCCCATGCGGTTCACCCGTCCGTTCGCCTGCTCGCCCGCGGCCTCGTTCCACCAAGAGTCGACCTGGATTACTCTGTTCGCGCATGTCAGGTTTAGGGCCTGTCCGCCGACCTTCATCGATGCAATCTGCGACGAAGGCATGGCGCACGTCAGCATGCCTGTCCTGGATCCCGCTTCGATACGGGGAGGTTGACTTACGAGAATCTTGACCTCGGGGTTGGTCTTGAACGTGTCCACTGCCTTGAGCTTTTCTTTCGATGTGAGTTTGCCGTTGAGGTAGACGAACGGGATGTCTTCAAGGTTCAACACGATACCCAGCAGAACCGCCGTTTTGATGAACTCGACAAAGACTTGGGCCAATCGTCAGCAACCTGATAGAAATAAGAGACAGATTTACTTACTAATAATCTTGTCATTGGGCGCCTCCTTCTGCCATTGTAGAATGATCTCCTTGGCAACCGTCAGCTTCGTTCCGGGGCAGGGGACGCCGCCATTCTCATTCACGCCGATCTGGAGGAACGAAGTGTCATTCTCTTCAAGTGCCGGCAAGTTGCCAATATAGTCGCCACCATATTTGCGTCGCCTCATCTTCCTCTTCTCGCGTTTCGCCTGCGCCTTGCGTCGCTTCTCTGCGACTTTGCCTTTGCGGCTGCGGTATCTGTTATCATCCGAGTCCTCGTCGGTAGACTCCTCATCTGAAGAGACACAAACTGCAGCTCTTTTCGCAAGAGTTGAGACCATCTCGATGTCGTTCTCCTTAAAGATATTCGTGCAAGTCGGGACTGGACACTGATGTTGTGCCATGGGGTCCAAGTCTCGCATTCTCTTCCAGAGACAAATTTGGCAGAAAACATGTTTGCACTTTTAGAAGTCTGTCAGCACATGTCCCCATTTCGAAACGAAAAGCAAAAGAAAATAAAAAGGTCAACATACCCCGTTGATGCGTATGCGATCGGTCGCCTTCTTCTTCTGCTCGCACTCGCCGCATTTGCTCTTGCCAAATTCCTTGTCCATGATTGTGAGCTCGAGTAGTTGGACCATTGAGAACTTTTGACCAAAGGTGGATTTTCCAAATGGATTCATAGGGGCGTATGCCAGCTCCCGAGGTGTGAGCTCAGGGACGTCTCCAGCATCGTTTTTGCCGGCTGCGAATGCATTATCTGGATCGCGTCGGCCGAAACGTCTGCCAATCTGGTGGTACACCCAAATATTGCCTTCAATTTCCTTGAGATCATTGACAAGCTTCTGGATGGACTCGTTGTCGATTGTCTCAGCGAAAAGTTTCTCCAGAAGATACGGGTGAGAGATTGCCTGTCTCTTCTGTGCCATTGAGACTATCGGAAGCAGAGACGGCTGACTGTCGAAATACTGAGTAATGGCACTTGAGGATATGTTAGTTACAAGAGAAGCCAATTTGTTTGTGACTACTGTAGCCCACTTACTCATAGATCAGTCGTTCCTCTTGGGACAGATTGACCCAGCGGACTTCCGCCTCGAATTGGGGCAGACCTTCCAACATCTGCTTCCCGAGGAAGCGGTTTTCATGACTCCTGCCATTCAATCGTCAGTTTCTGCTGGCTACGAGTAACAACGATGAAAAGAACTCGCCGGCGAATTGTCATCCGGTTGATCAATGCGTCTGACTTTTCGAAGGAATTAGGCTGGAACTTGGTTAGCTTTGATAGCCACTACTCCCGAGTCTCGCCTCTGAGGACATGCATACCCCTTTCTTGTAGATGAGTTCGTAGTCTTTTTTGGTCTGGATGCCTTCAACCCCAATCAGCTTCACATAAGGGAATATCTCTGCGTTTCCAATTAGCATCAGGAGCCAAGCTCAACATGGTACAAGGCAAGGCCCACCTTTGCTCCGGTTAATCAGCGGGGTTCCGCTGAGCCCCCAGACTCTCTTGCTTTTCAGACGGTAGCAAGCATGAAAGGCTGTTAGACGATTAGTTGACTGCCTTAAAGTCAAGCAAGAGGAATTATTTACTCTGCGTCTCTGAGTTCTTGATCGTGTGAAGTTCGTCAAAAACAACCCGGTACCACTCAATGTCGAAAATGGGGCCTGCGACGTGCTTCACAGCATTCTGGAATTCCTGGGTTCCTTGACCATACGACTCAGCCAGTTCCGATAGCCTTTTCCCTGATGGGTACTTGAGGAGCTCTTGATAAGTGGTAAGTCTGGTAGTGAGTGTTATTTACAGTTGCATTGAAAGGCGGACGGAACAGGGCCAAACTTACACGATCTTGTACCCTGCGATTTGGTCCGCCGCAAAAATATTAGTCCCTTGCTTGTAAACGAGGACATCTTGTGGGCGAATCTCCGTATGCCGAGTAATTGCATCACTCCATTCTTTTAGGACGTTGGGGCCTGGAACAACCACTATGGTGCCACCGCAGCCAGCTTGAAGATCCTGGGGGAGAGGTGGGCATCCCATTATGAGCACCAGAGTGGTGAGAGTCTTTCCCATTCCCATCTGGTCACCAAGAATCCCTCCATAGGGAGGCGCATGGGAATTCTCTCTCAGTAACATTAGGGTGGCAGCTTGAAGCTGCCAGCCCCGGATGGTCGTCCGAATGCCTCTCAGCTTGTAGTCAGAAGGACCAACGCAATCGACGGCGTTCAGGCCCCAAATCTTCATTCCCAATTCTGCGTCCTCCTTCTGTGAACTCAGATGGCGATTACTGTCGCCTTCTGACGTTGCAGCGGCAATTTGCTTCCTTCTGTCCTTCTTTAACACTTTGTTTTGGTCAGAATTCGGAATGCCTCCTTCAACAAGTTCGGGCACAATGTCAGTCTTTGTAGTCGTGGGTAGGGCAACTTCATCTGGGTCACCATGGCTACTCGTGGAGACCTTTTGCTGCCGTCGTCTTTTGGCTTGGGGGGGCTCCAAGACGATGATCGAATCCCCCGATCTTCGCTTCAAGTTGATTTGCTTGATGAAATGTTTCTTCAGCTCTCGCTCCTTTTTATTCTTGAGGTTTGCGATATATTCTTGCGCTGTACGAGCCATAGTTCCGCGCTTGGTGTTCTTCTCAGCAGGCCGTGTGCTCATTTCCGTATCTTGGTGTTCGTCTCCGAAGGAATCCTTCGCGATGCCCATAGCTTCATCGTCAATAAGAGTACTTGCAGGCAGTTGGACATCTGTACTTTCTGCCGTGCCTTGATGTTCCTCTCTGAAGGTGCCATCCCCCATGCTCATAGTCGTATCATGATGAAGAGTACTTGAAGATGGTTGGCCACTTGGGTAACTCTCCTCGTGTGCAAGCTCTTCCGATTTGGCATCCGCGTTCGTTGAAAGATGATCGTTCGAAGAATCTTGCTCCTCAGTTGCCTGGATGACGGCGTCGACCGCTGCCATTGTGTCCGAACTGGCCGGACTGGTGATGCTGTGTTTTTTTCCCACCTCGGTGTCTTCTTGTTCAACGAAGAGAGATAGATTTTGTGGGGAGGCCATGTTTGAAGGTGTTGAGCAAGAAAATCTAGATTCCAGGTTGGGAGCGGAAAGCTTTGGAGAAGTGAGGCGAACAGTGTGATAAATAAATGTGAAATGAGATTATCAAATAAGTAGGCTTGCTAATGGATGAGTTGATTCAGTGGATGGGTTGATTCAGGATCATCTAAGCTTGCTAGACTTGGGGGGGGGGAGGTTGAAGAGGTGGATGAGTTGGGGGCAAGATGGGTTTTTGTAGGTGAAGGTTGAAGGGGACGGGGACTCTTTAGCTCAAAGCAAATCTGGAAAGAATGCCTGTTATCTTGAGACGAATCTCAAGAAGAGGAAGGAAGGCTTGAAAGAAATTTGTTGAGAGGAAAGTGCCAGAGCATAGAGATACTCCTGCCTCAGACCAAATACATGCGTATCGCCAGTTGGGAAGAGCTTCGTGAATCCGTGATGTTGGTACCTCTGTTATAGAGTAGTAGAGATCTAGAATTAATTAGTAAAACGCATTCATTGGTCCAAGAAAACCGCAAGAAACAGAGGCAACTGTTGAATGAGAGTTGCAAAAGTACCGATGGCGTGGTTGTATGGATGTAAGTAGCAGGCAAGCGTCAGACATGGGAATAGCCTCACTTGGATTTGGCAACGAGCTGATGTTGACGGCTGGCCACAGCTGGCAGGATCCAGCCTCCCTCCTTACCGATAAGTGTTTTGACCGCCTTGACGGCAGAAAGAAGGACCCACTAAATTTTCATCGACCCCACGCACTGCATTTTCCATCCAGTGCATGCGACATGGCCAAGATTTGCGGCATTCTGCAACCTTCACTTCCACCCCGCAGCCATGTCTTCGTCAAAGTCGAGCAAGAATGGCAAAATCACCGATTCTCGGTTCTCGAACTTCGAGACCGACCCCCGCTTCCGGCTGCCTTCCAAGAAGCAGACCAAGACCACAATTGACAAGCGATTCTCGCGCATGCTGAAGGACGAATCCTTCACATCCACCTCAAAGGTCGACCGATACGGCAGGAAAGTCAAGTCCGACGCCAAGAAGAAGGCCCTGCAGCGGCTGTACGAGCCAGAAGATGGGGACCAGGAGGACGGCATGGAGGTCGACGCCGACGATGTTATCGAGCGGGAACTGGCAAAGGCCAATGCCAAGTACGACCCTGCGCGCGGCGGCGGTTTCTCAGAGTCCGAGTCCGAGTCCGAGTCGGAATCCGAAGACGACGACGACTCGGAAGAGGAGGCTGTGACCGTGTCTGACCCTAAGGCGTCCATGTCTCGCCTTCACGACGAACAGGCCGAGGTCGAGGATGGCGAAGTCACGAACAGGATAGCGATTGTCAACCTCGACTGGGACAATATCAAGTCGGCCGATCTGTTTGCCCTCTTCACCAGCTTCTTGCCGCCGACCGGTGGCCGCATCGAAAAGGTCTCGGTCTACCCCAGCGAGTTCGGCAAGGAACGCATGCAGCGCGAGGAGCTCGAGGGCCCCCCGAAGGAGATCTTCAAGAAGTCGGACGATTCCGACGAGGATAGCGAGGACAGCGAAGACGAGGACGAGGCGATTAAGAAGGAACTGCTGGAGGAGGGCGATGCCGAGGACTTTGACCACGATGCGCTGCGCAAGTACCAGCTCGACCGCCTGCGCTACTTTTATGCCGTCATGACCGTCTCCGACAAGACGACGGCACAGAAACTTTACGAGGCCACCGACGGCACCGAGTACCAGTCATCGTCCAACTTCCTCGACTTGCGGTTCATCCCCGACGACGTCACCTTCGACGACGAGCCCAGAGACGAGTGCACCAAGATGCCTGAAGGATACAAGCCTGTCGAGTTCACCACCGATGCTCTGCAACACTCCAGGGTCAAGCTGACCTGGGACGTCAACCCTGACGACGCCGCGCGCAAGGCCTCCATCAACCGCGCTTTCACCGGTAGCCGCTCACAGCTTGAGGAAAACGATCTCAAGGCATATCTGGCCAGCGACAGCGAGGACGACGGCGATTCGTTTGCTGGCTTCGACGATGAGGAGAAGCAAGAGGAAGGGGAGGCGGCTGCCGAGCCCAAGCTGTCCAAGAAGGAGCTCGCCCGTCGGAAGATGAGAGAGGCGCTGGGTCTGGGCGCCGAGGAGGAGAAGAAGTCCAAGGACGGCCCCGTCGGAGAGATGGAGATCACATTCACGCCCGCTCTGACGGAAAGCAAGAAGGACAAGAAGCCGGAAGAGGAGGAGACGACGATCGAGAAGTACAAGCGCAAGGAGCGCGAGCGCAAAGAGCGGAAGCGCGAGGCGGCCCGCGCCAGACGCGAGGGCGGCGTCACAGGGACCGCCAAAGATGGCGCCGAGCCTGCGGAGGATGACGACGAGGAGGCCGTCGGCGCGGGCGAGGACCTCGGCTTCGACGACCCCTTCTTCACGACGGAGGAGCCGGCGGCTGCCGTCAAGAGCAAGACGTCGGTGCGCAAGGAGGAGCGCCTCGCGAAGCGCGCGGCGCGCGAGGCCGAGGAGAAGGAGAAGGCGGCGCAGAAGGCGCAGCTGCAGCTCCTGATGGCGGACGAGAACGACACGGAGCAGGCGGCGCACCTGGACCACTTTGACATGAACGAGATCCTGAAGGCGGAGAAGCTCAAGAAGAAGAAGGGCAAGGCGGCGAAAAAGCTGGCGGCCAAGAGGGCGGCCGACGGCGACGACGGCGACGCCAAGGTCGGGCTGCAGGAGGACTTCAAGATGGACGTCGACGACGAGCGGTTCAAGGCCGTGTTCGAGAGCCACGAGTACGCCATCGACCCGTCGAATCCCAAGTTCAAGGGCACCGAGGCGATGAAGAAGCTGCTCGAGGAGGGCCGCAAGAAGAGGAAGGCCGGCGGGGACGGGGACGACGAGCCGCCCGCCGAGAGGGACGGCAAGAAGGCGAAGAAGACCAAGGGGGACAAGAAGGCCGAGGACGACGAGCTGAGCAGGCTCGTCGCTTCGGTGAAGAAGAAGGCCGCCGGCAAGGCTGGGAAGAAATAGAGATGGCCTCCTCCTTCCTCCTCCCTTTTCTTCTTTTGTGGAATCTCTCTTTTTTTTTTTTTTTTTTTTTTTTCTGTTCGAGGCGTACGGGTCATTTCCTAGACTGGTGGGGACAAAAGTTATCAACCAACGTACGAAGCGCGCGTCCATGATGCGAGGAGACATGTATCAAAAAAGGGGCGGCAGGCTTTTTTTGTGATGCTATTCCGCGACTTGCTTCCTAAAGGGTAGCTTGTGTCCGTAAAGAAATCTCTTCCTGACCTTCCTAAGCCGGGGCGTCCTGTTGCCTGTCGTTGCCGGTTCCGTTGTTCATCAATCATTTGCTATAATACCGACATTGTACCACGCAGCCACTTCCCCGGTACCCTGGGCTATTCCTTCATGAGAATTCGGCTCCATTCACCTTGCTAGGTCTGATGAGTGAATATACCACCTGGGTTGTCATCCAATCGGGGAGTCGAAAGTCGCCATCGGCTAGAGAGCCAGCCCGCCCTCCCCCGCCATTTCCCTTGCTTTCCCTCACAGCGTGTGATCCACCGGGGGCATTCGGTTGTCTCGCTGCGGCCCAGCTTTCTCGTCACCATCATCACGGGCCTCGTAGCTGCCGGTATTGGAGCGGCCGGTGCCCGGGTCCCAGTCCGCTTGTTCCTCGGGAGACCGGCGGGTGATTCGCGCCAGGATGACGAGCTCGACGAGGATGCCGACCGATAGGACGGCGGCGACGACTTTGAGAACCGGCTGCGGTATGTCCATGAGGGGAAGGCGGTGGGCGGATTCTCCAGGGTTGGTTTTGCGGGAGAGATCGGGTTGGTGTCTCTAGATGTTTTTGTGGTGGAGAGGAGGGGGATGGGAAGGCCAGAAGGGGTGGGACATTATTTCTGGTAAGAAGAAAGCAGTGATCCGGGTTATCAGTATGGGAAGGCATGCAGTACAGGCAGGTGGCTTGCCGCCTGAGGGATGCATGTCGTTTGGCGTCTCACGATGGGGTGCAAACAGTGCAGGAAAACCGGTGGAAGGAGGAGCGCCATCTTCACGAATTTAAAACAACATCAAATACGAAGGAGACTTGTGAAGTGTTGCAACAAGGAGGGGAATCTTGCTCTCATTATGATGATTCGCCAGTCCAATGCTACCGTAGCTTTTGTTTCTCATTTTGACCATAAAGACATCAAGAATGCTTTTTTTCTGTTTTGCTTTCCTTTTCTTCCGTGGTTTTTTTTTTTTTTTTTTTACCGCACGACGGCGTCCTTCAAGCTGGGAACGGTGCAGAGGCCGCCGGACTTGGTGACCAGCTTGGCGACGCCCTGCTTGCCGAGGGCCTCTACGACGCCGGCATCGAAAGCGACGGCGAGGTCGTCGGTGGTGGTGAAGCCGGGCTGGAAGGTCTCCCAGATCTTCTTCTTGGGGTTCAGCACGCCCTCGGGCTCGCCCTCCCAGCCCTGGAAGCAGACGCGCTCGCCGGCCTTTGCGTCGGCGGGGGGCGTGACGAGCTCGACGGGGCCCTTGTGGTCGTCGGCCTCTCCCTCCTTGAGCCTGGGGGAGGCGGCGAGGACCATGGCGCACGACTTGATGCCGCGCATCTTGACGGGCTTGAGGTTGCAGACGACGACGACCTTGCGGCCCTGCATGGACTCGAGGGGTACGAGGCCGTTGAGGCCGGAGCAGACGGTGCGGCAGACCTGGCCCTCGTACTCGGTGGTGTCGTCGTTGGGCTCGTCGCCGACGGCGATGGTGGAGACGTAGAGCGAGTCGGCCTCCGGGTGCTTGATGGCCTTGAGGATGTGGCCGACGCGGAGGTCGATGAGGGCCGGGGACAGGGGCGCGGCGGGGGCGGCGGCCTTCTGGGGCTTGGGGGCCTTCTCCTTCTTGTCCTTCTTGGGCTTGGCGTCGCCGCCGGCGACGGCGGCCTTGACCTTGTCCTTGGCGTCGACGACGGCCTCCTTGACCTTTTCGCCGGCGCTCTTGTCCTTGCCGGCGTCCTTGGTGCGGTCGGGGAGGGCAGCCTTGTCACCTCCGGCGGCGGCGGCGGCGGCGGCGGCCTTCTCCTTCTTGAGGCGCTCCTTCTCGGCCTTGGCGTCGACGGGGGGCTTCACATAGAGGACATTGTCCAGGTCAACGGCGACCTTGTCCTCGGGCTTCACGTCGGCGGCGAAGGCGGGGTAGTTCTGGACAAAGTCGAGGTGGCGGACGATGTTGGGGTAGCCCTTCTCGCCGGTGCGCTGCTCGGGAGACCAGGCGGCGACGAGGGGGCGGACAGCATCGTAGAGGGCGGTGTCGGCCTTGCTGGGCTTGGTGCCGAGGAGGGTGGTGCGGGTGCTCAGGTGGGAGTTGAGGGTGTCGAGGATAGGGGAGGCGTCGGCGCCGGCGCCGGCCTGCTGCAGGCGGGCGGCGGTGGTGAGCCACTGCTGGATCTCGGTCTCCTCATTGGGAGTGTAGGTGGTGCTGCTGGAGGCCATTTTTGCGAGTCGGAAGGGGGACAGGCTGCGGGAGCTGCTGGGACGGATGGCGCGCAGAGAAGAGAGCATTGGTTGTGAGTCTGAGATGGAAATTTTGGCTGTGTGGCTCTGCGGGGTAGGTGGTGGTGGCAGCAAAGCGCCCAGGAGGACTGCCCCTCCACACGCGTCAGCCAATTCCACTTGATATGTGCCTCAGGCCAGGAAGCAGGTATCAGCGGTCAGGCATAGTCGGTGTCCTCTCGGTGTTCATCGGTGTGTCCCGGTGAGTGGAGTTCGTTCCGCCGACACTTTTTCCTCCGACACACTCACTTCGTTGCTATCCTTTTGCGATATTGATTTTGTGTCTTCTTGAATGCACTGATTGTTTCGTTGCCAACCGTCCTTCTACAGGTGTATATGCCAGGTAGTCAATAAGAAGCAGCCTACCGACAGACAAACTTTGTGTCCCATTAGCTGCAACTCTCACCTTGGGTGGGGGACATCATTTCCCGCACTGGTTGCTGTAACTAACTAGTTAGTGTTTTGTCCTGGGCTTTTGCAATGGTCAACAATGAACGCAGATTGCCACGCTGAGCCCCCGATCTCTCATCCGATCCCCGTCCCGTCTTAATGACGACGGGGTGCCTTAATGACAAGAAAGAAAAAAAGAAAAAAGACCGGGCCTTAGATTGAAAAGGACGCGAGCCCACGTGACTGCGCCACCTTTCGCGTCGCGCCCCTGCCTTTTTCTTTGGATCCGCGCATCCGATCGCGCTGTTCCCCTGGTGCAGGCCCGTCTCCGTCTCTGTTCTTGCCTCTCTTTTTTACCTTGGGCCTGCCCCTCTCCAGCTTTCCCATTCGACCCTGACTTTCTTTAGAGGCAGAACCCTAAAACTGTGATTCCCAAGCCTTGGATCACAGAATCCATTTGTTTTTCGAAAATTTCCCCTTTTTATCAATTGCATCCGTTTTCGACGTTCCAAATCCAAGGAGGAGGGGACACAGACCCAGTTGCTCGAGCTTGTGCGAGTGGCAAGCAGTACAATACCATCATCGATTTTCACCACCTCGGAGTCGCTCTCTCGTCTCTCTCAGCTGCCATAGACGGACAACAGCCTTTTCCTGACGCGATCTACTCGCAAACATCCATCCTGCATTCAGCCTCGCCTTACGCACTTAGTGTATTACAATATGGATTCCTCTGCTACCTCCGAGGTGGAGTCAATCATGTCCACCAACCGGCGCCTTGACACCAGCGCCCCTTCCTCACCACCTAGGGATGACAGTGTTGAGCCTATTGATGCCGAGTTCAAGCACATCATGGAAGAGGAGGCCAAGGCCCGCGCTGCTAATGAGAAGAAGACCAAGGCGGCTAAGAAGGCACAGAACGCCAAGAATCGCCGCAAGAAGAAGAACGAGCTGAGCAAGGAGGAGAGGCAGAAGAGAGCCAGGGAGCTCGAGGGCCTGCTGGCCAGGTCCGCCGCTTTCAGTGACATGCTTGTCACCAAGACCCAGGCCTTGGGCCGAGTCGGAACCGGTCTGGAAGGCGAAGCGCTTGGAGACCACAAGCTCGCCATGGCAACCCAACCCAAGCTCATGACCGGCGGCGAAATGCGTGATTACCAGCTCGAAGGTCTCACCTGGATGGCTGAGATCTGCATCCAAGGCTTGTCTGGCATTCTTGCCGACGAAATGGGTCTCGGTACGCCTCACATCGCACACAGCGTGCGTGCGCCATTCAATCGACTGACCTTTGGTACTAGGCAAAACCGTTCAGACAATCTCTCTCATCGCTCATACCAGAGAGCAAAACTACTTGGGCCCCCACCTCATCGTTGCACCCCTGAGCACATTGTCCAACTGGATGGATGAGTTCGAGAAGTGGTGCCCCAGTATCCCCGTTGTGCTGTTTCATGGCGATGCTCAACAGCGCGCAAAGATCAAGAAGGAACGCCTCGACCCCAACATGAAGAACGGGATGCCTACCAAGAAGTTTCCAGTCGTCTGCACTTCATACGAAATGGTTCTTAGGGAAAGAGCTACTCTAGCAAAGTTTCAGTGGGCTTTCGTCATAATTGTGAGCCTAGTTCCTCACGATCTGTTTCCCGGCGTCGGCCCGCTGACTGACTTCTTCTAGGACGAGGGTCATCGTATGAAGAATTTCGAATCCAAGCTGTTTCAGGAGCTCGAGAACTTCACCTCTGCGACCCGACTCCTCATTACGGGCACGCCACTTCAGAACAACCTTAGGGAGCTCTGGGCTCTTCTCCATTTCCTCATGCCAGGCATCTTCAAGGACTGGGAGGCTTTCGAAGAGTGGTTCAATTTCGATGATCTACAGGACGAGGAGGGCACCGAGGAGTTCATCGCCGACCGCGAGAATCAAGAGTTGATCAAGAAGATCCACGTCATTCTCCAGCCTCTTCTTCTTCGTCGGGTCAAGGCAGATGTTGCCGCCCACCTCCCCAAGAAGCGCGAGTACATCCTTTTCGCCCCGATGACCAAGGAGCAGACGGACATCTACAATGCCATCAACGATAAGAAGGTCGACACTCGCGCGTACCTGGAGAATAAGGTCGTCGAGCGGCTCACTGCTACCATTGGTGCCCCCGTCGAGAAGGGAGTGGCCGCGGTCAAGGAAATAGACATTCCCATCAGAAGCAGTCCCAGAAAGTCAAAGACGAAGGCGACGCCCGAGTCAAAGAAGCCAAATGCCTTCGCGGCTATGATGAGCCGAGCTAGAAGTTCGTCCAGCAAGGCCGAAAACGCATCAAAGGATACGTCTACTATCCCTTTCAAGACATCATCCCGCGCTAGCTCCAAGCGCAAAGAGGCACCTGCCTCCGAGACCCCACAGGCGAAGAGCGCCAAGTCGTCTCGACACTCGACCCCTTCTACTACCAGCCGAGGCCGGGTTACCCGTGGAAGACGCCGCTATGTCGACTCCGATCCCGACGACGAGGACAAGCTTTCCGACGACGAGTTTGAGGCAAAACTGGCAAGGGAAGCCGAGGAGGACGACAGCGATGATAAGACCATTGTCATGTCTGCCGAGGAGCAGCACCGGGCCAAGATTTTGGAACAGGCCAAGAAGGAGATGAGCGCGAAGAAGCTAGGCAATCCTGACATGCAACTTCGCCTTGTGTGCAACAGCCCACACAATTTCTTTGACCCTTGGAGCTATGAAGGTGCTCCTCCGGTCGACGAGAGTATCGTCACCTCTTCTGGAAAGATGCTCATGCTCGATCGACTCCTGCCAACTTTGTTCGCCAAGGGTCACAAGGTGCTGATATTCAGTCAGTTCAAGACGCAGCTCGACATTCTCCAGGACTACTGCGAGCTTCGCAAGTGGAACGCCTGCCGTCTTGATGGATCCGTTTCCCAGGAGAGCCGTCGTGATCAGATCAAGGAGTTCAATGAGAACCCTGACTTCAGGATTTTCTTGCTCTCGACGCGCGCCGGCGGTCAAGGTATCAACCTCGCTAGCGCTGACACTGTCGTTCTCTTTGACAGCGACTGGAATCCGCAGCAGGACCTTCAGGCTCAGGACCGCTGCCACCGGATCGGTCAGACCCGCCCCGTCATCGTCTACCGACTTGCCACCAAGGGCACTGTCGAGGAGGAGCTCCTTCTTAGCGCTGATGCCAAACGTCGCCTCGAGAAGCTGATCATCAAAAAGGGCTCGTTCAAGACAATGGGCCAGAAGGTGAACCTCAAGGAGGACCTAGACAAGGAGACCCTCAAGTCTCTGTTGTTGAAGGATGGTCAGATCTTCAACCAGTCGGGGGATCACGAGATCCTCAGCGACAAGGATCTGGAGGTGCTTTGCGACAGGTAAGGATTCCTGTACGGATGTTGGAGTGCATTTTGGACGGTAGCTAACCACAGCTTACAGGAGCGACGAGGCTTACGCCCAAGCCGCCCAGGGCACTGCAAATGCCGATGGGTACAAGGTTATCGAGACAACCTCCGGTGGCATCACCATCGCCGGCCAGGACACTGTTTAACGGGGGCCCTGGTCGATCTGGAATTGGTCCCTCCGATGATGACATCAGTTGCATGAGAGTGCCGCAGGGCTGACTGTGCTTACATCGTCGTGTATGCTTACATGCCATGCCTGCAGGTTCTCGAGTTTTGTGTGGTCTTGGAAAACGACATTGGGGTAATACAGTGTTACTCTGGTGCCTCACCTTGCTGTGGGTCACCCATCACCAACATTACCGTCGCGGCCTAGAGATGCAGGCTTTGGAATTGGATGGAGTGTGGATAGACTTTGCTTGTAAGGATTTGATTGTGGCCATGGCCTACGCCTGAAAACGACGGACCCCGATGGTCTTCGGGACATGCGTCCAACGGATGGGGAAGAATGCTCACTTTCTGGAAAGCTATCCTTTTTTCCCCTCTTGTACTATATAACTGTATACTACGGATTGGCGTTCGATACCCAGGAACATGTTTGCACAACATGGTTAGATAGCTATTGACATAGTCAGTCATCATTCATGGACGTTACTGAGCATCAAAGTGTGGCCGTGGCCACAATTGCTTTCCCTCCCAACCGAACTCGGAGCACATGGCCAAGCAGGATCTATCGCGGTCGGCGGGGAACCCCCCTCATGCTCAACATGATGGGCTTTACCTGCATCCGCATCCCGTCTGTTCATTGCTTGATTGGCATCGAGCACCGCCTTCGGGCTTTGCCTCATTGCTTTTCATTAGTCACAGTGCCACAGCAGGCCTGAGCAAGTTTGCAAGGAAGGTCAAGAGTGGCCTACTAGGCCACGCGCGACGCCCGCGACCTCCCAGAGGCTGCGGTCTTCCCAGTACCCCCTCTCTACGACAATAGATTCCACCCACATGCCGGCGCCGAAGACGCCGTCGCCGACCGACATGAGCGCCCACGCAGTCGCGCGGACAGCGAGGCGCTGCAGGTACGGCCTGTAGAGATCGACGACCATGGCGTAGAGCGTGCTCGCGCAGACGGCGGCGAGGAAGGCGGCGGCCAGCCGCAGGAAGGCCAGCTCGGTCCTGAGGAGCCGCCCGTCGACGGCGTCGACGACGCGCCCGGGGAGCCGGCCAAGGCGGGCGTGCAGCGCGACGAGGGCCGTCTGCGCGGCGGCGGCGGGGTCGTCGCCGAGGGCGTCGGAGGCGCGCCAGACGAGGCGCGAGGCGGCCTCGAGGGAGCGGCGGAGGGCGCGGCAGGCGAGCGGGGCGACGAGGCGGACGGCCAGGCTCGCGAGCAGGGGCGCGTGCAGGAGGGCGACGGCGAAGCCGTACAGGTGGCCGAGGTCGTCGAGCAGGCGGCTTTCGGGGCGGGCGACGCGGCAGATCCAGACGGGGCCGATGAGGTTGGGCAGGAGGAAGCAGCCGTGCAAGTAGGCGCGGACGAGGAGGCGGTTGCAGGGCCCGAGGCGGGCGGAGAGGTCGGCGTCGTCGCGGACGGCGCGGAGGCGGCGGCGCAGGCGCGGCTTCGCGGCGACGGCGGCGTTGAGGCAGGCGGTGAGGTAGACGGCGGCGGTGGCGGAGGCGTGGTAGGCGGCGCAGAGGTCCGCGTGGTAGAAGAGCCCCTCGAGCGGCCGGACGAGGAGGGCGAGGAGGAGGGAGAGGAGGGCAGCCAGCCAGAGGGCGGGAGGGGCCTGGTTAGTGGTAGCCATCGGGGAGGGGTTTCCCTTCTGGGTGCTCTTGATTTGCAGGATATCGGAGTTCTTCGGTCTGCGGGATGGGTTAGCAACTGGGGAGGAGATTCAGTCTGGTTTTGGTGTAGGTAGGTTAAGAAGTGCGAGTGCGAGTGGGCTGTTGGGGAGCCCGGTATGGAGGTTCGTGTTCTTCGAGGTTGCGGAAATCCGCATGCATATGAGGTTGTAAGTCGATAAAGCGGCCTGGCTGGTACTATTCTCGATTTGCTTCCGTGTTCGACGCTGGGCATACCGCCTTGTTGGCGGACAAAGCATATTCGTTGGCGGGAGTTTGTCGACTTCAAAGGAGCCCCGTTGACGAGTACCCAGCAACAAGGGTGTTATTTTAACATACAACATCTTTGGACTCCATCAAAGGACTCTTGGTTGGGTTGAGTAGTAGTAGATGTCATATGCAGGTGCAAGGGGGTGTGCCGGAGTTAGCGGCATTTCATGCATGACGGAGTTTAAAGTACGGCGCTAGGACACCAACATCGCGGTGGTCCTGCAATGAAGGTATCGTTGCCCCGTATGGTTCCAAAGAAGGGAATCCCCAATCACGATGACTTCGTAGTATAAGATGGTTGACCGTCCGCGGCCGATTGGGATGCTCTCCAAGCCAGAAAGCATCACATCCTTCTCAACCACAGCACCACATCACGACGAACATCACCATGTCTCCCCCAGCAAGCCTGCCCGTCCGCCGCCTGGGAGAGTCCGGTCCCGAGGTCCCTGCTCTCGGCGTGGGCCTGATGGGCCTCAGCGTCTCCTACGGCGCCCCAGGGTACGTTGTCCCCTCCGCCAGCTTGCCCCCCCCCCCCCCCCCCCCCCCCCAAAAAAAAAATCGAACCGTTGCCGGCCTAACATATAGACCCCAGGCCCGATGAGGAACGCCTTGCCTTTCTTGACCGCGCGTGGGAGCTCGGCGCGACCAGCTGGGACACGGCCGACTGCTACGGCGACAACGAAGAGCTCATCGGCAAGTGGTTCGCGCTGCACCCGGAGCGCCGCGGCGACATCTTCCTGGCGACCAAGCTCGCCATACGCTCCACGGTGGACGACGGCGACCACCGCGTCTGGGTCGACACTTCGCCGGGTTACTGCCGCGAAGCGTGTGAGCTTAGCTTGAAGAAGCTGGGCGTGGAGAGCATCGACTTGTACTACATCCACCGCCTGGACGACAAGACCCCGGTCGAGAAGACGATCGAGGAGATGGTCAGGCTGAAGAGGTACGGTCCTGTAGAAAAGAGTCCCATCACCTCGGTGGAGCTTCTGCGTTAAAAAATAAAAATAAAAAGAGGGTTTTGTTTGCTAACGTCGGGAGTTATAGCGAGGGCAAGATCAAGCACTTTGGCATCTCCGAGTGCTCCTCCGCGGCCCTCCGCCGGGCCCACGCCGTACACCCCATCGCGGCCGTCCAGGTCGAGTACAACCCGTGGTCCCTCGAGATCGAGGGCGCCGCCGGCACGGACCTCTTGCGGACCTGCCGCGAGCTCGGGGTCGCCGTCTTTGCGCACTCGCCGCTCGGCCGCGGCATCATGACGGGGCGGTTCAAGTCGGTCGACGACTTCGACGCGTCCGACTACCGCCGGACCTTGCCGCGGTTCGCAGGCGACAACTTCCGCAGGAACATGGAGCTCGTGGACCAGTTCGCCGCCATCGCCAGGGACAGGCACGGGTGCTCGGCGGGGCAGCTGACGCTGGCCTGGCTTCTGGCGCAGGGCGACGACGTGATCCCGATCCCGGGAACGAAGAGGGCCGAGTACCTGGAGGAGAACCTTGGGGCGTTGAAGGTCGAGCTGGGGAAGGAGGGGGAGGAGGAGTTGAGGGCGCTGGTCGAGCAGGCGGACGTGCAGGGCGATAGAGGCGTGGTGTACGGGAACTACACCGATTCGCTGGCGTTGAAGGTGTCGGGCTGAAGGAGATGGCTGTTGGGAATACATACTCTACATACCAGGACTGGTGGTTGGGCGCAGGAGGGGAAGCTCGGAACGGCGCTGCCGAACCCCGGCCTTGGTTTCCGAGGTCCCGGGGCCCGCGGGCGGGGGCTTTGGAGAATTGTATCTATCTGATTTGCCTAAATATTGCACGGGGATGCGGGGGTTGTGTAGCAATCAGATTTCCTAGTCCAGGAAAGTCTCCTCGGCCAAGAGGGCCGATACTCGGAGATCGGAGTGGGGCCCCGCCGCGATAAGCTGCCGGAACGTGTGCGGAGACAGGCTGGGTGCTGTGGACAATCTTATAGCCGTTCCTGGTCCCTTGACCCGACGTCCCGTTCGAGAACCTCAAAAAGATACACCACTTTCATCTGTGTTATAGACCCTAAACTCGTGACTCAGTATCCCCTAACTTCATTCTGACTCCTGGAACCGACTTAGGCTAGATAATACCTATCGACGTGCGCTATCAGACGTAGTAGTGTATTACTACACAATCCGCAACTTATCAAGCTCAATTCTGCGCGACCAAGACATGACGGTCATCTACAAGACTGGCGAAGACGCCCGCCTGGCCTTTCGGTCCGGCACCTTCACCTCGACGACGTCCGGCCAGGCCCCCACATACCTCCAAGCGAACCTCATCATCCTCCCGCAGCGGTACGCCGACGACTTCCGGCTGCTCTGCCAGCGGAACCCCGTGCCGTGCCCGCTGCTCGCCGAGTCGGCGAGCCCCGGCGACTACAAGCGGCTCAAGTCCCATGTCCGCAGCCACGACGGCAGCAAGGTCCTGCCGGTGGCCGACAACATCGACCTGCGGCACGACTTCCCTCGTTTCCGGGTCTACGAGGACAGCAGACACGTCCCGGTCGACGGCGTCCCAGAGCCGGTCGACGTCGCGGACAAGTGGCTGGACGGCGACCACGTGGGGTTCCTCATCGGGTGCTCGTTCAGCTTCGAGAGGGCCCTCTGCGAGGCCGGGCTCGCGCCGCGGCACCAGCTGCACAACCGCTCGGTGGCCATCTACCGGACCAACATCCCGCTGTGCGCCGCGGGCGTCTTCTCGGGGGCCACGTACGTCGTCTCGATGAGGCCGTACAGGCCCTCGGAGATCGAGAGGGTGCGCGACGTCACGAGGCCCTTCGTCGCGACCCACGGCGAGCCCGTGGCGTGGGGCTGGGACGGCGCCGAGAGGATCGGCATCGAGGACATCACGAAGCCGGACTGGGGCGACGTGACGCTGCAGCTCGACGGGAAGGGCGTGTTCGGGCCGGACGACGACGAGTACGTGCCGGTGTTTTGGGGCTGCGGCGTCACGCCGCAGGAGGCTGTGATGCGGGCCGGTCTCAAGGGGACGGTGATGGGGCATGCGCCCGGGCACATGACGGTGTTGGATGTGAGAGAGGAGGAGATCTTTCCCGTTTCGTAAATCGTAACCCGAAGACTTGATGACGGGAAGAGGCATCGGAAGGGGGGAAAGTGGGTTTCGGGTAGAGATATAATGGAGTCGATCTAGGATTATTCCCGAATAGCAAATGTTTCTACCAATCCAAGATGTACTTCAAAAAGGATCTCCCAAGATCATCGCCGAGAAACAAGTAGCCCTTAACATCTCAGTGTCTGGCTGTAGAGCTCTGGCCCACAACAGTGGGAAGTCATCAGATCCCGGTCATTTGCTGAACCTTTGGCGTCGTTCCGCCAAAGGCAAATAAGAAAGCGGCGAGGTTGGATGGATTTCTCTTTGACGGACAATGCCATAGTGTTGCCTTTCTTGTTAGGCGCCTTTCTCCTCCCGTGGCATTCCTGGATAATAATCGCCGTCAAAGGGCAAGCTTGAACAGCTGAGCAGCTTTCAATGAACTTACCCCGACGGAACAATCTGTCCTTGGCCGGCTTTGTTACTGGTCCCAGTGTCAAAGATGTGCAGGAAAGAGAATGCAACTGAGGTCTCCTTCGTGAAAGCAAGAATAAGATATAAGGAGGTCTGAAGAGGGTCATTTCCCAACATCTAGACGGCAGGTACGCAACCAACTCTGTAGATTTCACCAGTGCAACTCATGAATAGTGCCACACAGCATTTTACTCATCATTTCAACCCAGAAACAAACTCCAAGAAGTCTGCAGTCGACGTTTCATAACCTTTACGGATTCACGAACGGCGTCGATTCCAAACCTCGTGCCCCGGTGCCCCGTAACGATGCCACCAAAGGCAGGTTCCGGATCGGGCGGCGGCAAGAAAGGAGGCGGGAGACAGACCGCGTCGTGGAGGATCAATTACGAGCCCAGACAGACTCGATCCCAGGCTCGCGGAGCCGGAAGTCGGCCACTGGTTGCTTTGGACATGAATACTGGAATGGCGACAACCGCATCGCACCAGGTAAACCGGAGGGCGACGCCGCCACCAGCACAGCCAGCACAGCAAGGACAGCAACAACCTCCTCCGCCTGCTCCACCTGCTCCGCCTCCTCCGCCTCCTCCACCCCCGCCTGCTCCTTTGCCACCACCACCTCCTCCTCCGCCGCCGCCAGGTCCGGCTTCAGCTCCCACGGCAGACAATCAGGGCGGAGACAACGATGGTAGTGATGATGGCCATAACGGTGATGAGGGTGATGGTGGGGATGAGGAAAACAAAAACGATGACGGCGATGATGACGATGATGGTGACAATGATGAAGACATGAACGATGATGACGAGGGGAACAGGGACGAAAAAGAGAATGATGGCGATAAAGGCGACGATGGTGACGATGGTGACGATGGTGACGATGGTGACGATGGTGACGATAGTGACGATGGTGACGATGGTGACGATGGTGACGATGGTGACGATGAGGACGATGAGGACGATGAGGACGATGAGAATAGAAACGATGACGATGAGAACGATGAGGGAAAAAAAAATGGCGAGAATGCAGACTTTGGTGGTTCAGACACAGGAAGCAACTCCGGCAGTAACGGTGGCACAAACCCCGATGGGAGTCCTGGTCCCAGCGAAGATGACGATTCGAACACGGGCCCAAATCTCAGCGGAACCGCCGGCCAAGATGGAAACCAAGGGCAGCCAGTTACAGAATCGTCACCAGGCGGGCAAATGCCTTCCCGGAGCACGGGCGTTCCCGCGTCGCCCGATAGCTCCCCGTCAACCGAGCCCTTCCCCTCGTACAGGGAGCCCTCTCCATCGACGTATATAGACACAAGCCCGCCCTCAGGCCGGGGGGGTCGCCAAGACGATAATGGTGTTTACCCTGGAGACGATGGGGATGATGGGAACGAAGGAGGCAGGCACCAAGACCAAGAAGGGGAGGATGAAGACGAGGAGGACGAGCAAGATGAGGAGGAAGAAGACGAAGGAAAGGAGCTGAACAACGGGGCTGATCATTCTCCAAGGCGCCGATCACCAGGTTCCTCTCCAGGACCATCAGCATCAGGGCAGCATGGGTCGCAGACATACCCAGGGTCAGGAGGGGGGAATATGCCCTCGGCTCGGGGTACTGGACGGTCTGGAACCGCGCCCGAACGGAGCACCGGTCCCGGCTCCAGCCGAGGCGCCGCCAATCGCGGTCGCAGTCGTGCCGGCAATCATGCCGCGCCTTTCCGGAGGATCGGAGCACTCGGAAAGTCCCTTTTTGCTGCTGCGAACCAAGTACCCGGGCATCAGCAAAAGCGGGGACGAGAAGAAGACGAGGACGGGACTCGGCCGGCTAGAAGGCGCAAGACGGACTCGGCCGAGACGGAAAGTCCCGCGCAGACCGCCTCCGTTCGCGGACCCAGGACGGGCACATCGGGGAAGAGACCGAGAATCTTGTTTGACACGCAGGAGACGCCAACGAAGAGACCGAGACTCGGATAGATAGAGGCAGGGCGTATATAAATGTGATGGAATGGCAGTAGAGGTAGGTCTTGTTGAATTTGATTTTGTCATTATAGTTGGCAGTGCCTTGGTTTGTTTTTTCTTTTTTTTTTCTTTTTGACTGAGCATCGGGTCAAACGAGGCCGCTTGTGGGATATCCGCTACACCACAAGGCAAGGCGGTCTAGTTACCTGGTCTGTCTATTATTGCGTCCGGTCGCATTCATGCATCCTTTCCTCTCAGCAAATCATTGCGAGGGGCTGGCGCGGTCCATCTTGCGCTAACCTGAGGTAGTGGGAGAGAAACGAGGAGTGCTCATATTCATACCAGAATGGCGTTGTGGGGTTGTCTGGTAGAGCTTGGTTCCGTGGCCGAGTTCGACCTCTTCCTTTCCCGGAAGACGGCACCAGTTGTAAAATCCGTGCTCCCTACTTTATATATAAGAAAAAAACAATCAAGGGCCACGTCTCTCGGGTGTCAGCGTTTCCAACGCCGGGGGGGTATCATAGCATGTCTTCGTCTTCGTCATAATCGCCGTCGCCGTCGCCGCGCTCCTCCTCCTCCTCGCGCCTGCTGGCCTCGGCGCTCGCGCCGATCTTCCGCACGCCCTCGATCACGCCGAGGAAGAAGCCACGGCTCTCGGCCAGCTCCATGGCGCCGACGCCGCGGAGGCTCATGACGCCGCCGACGCCCTCGGACAGGTCCTGGGTGCTCTTGCGCATCTTGGCGGCGCGCACCTCGTGCAGGTCGCGCAGGAGGGAGCGGACCTCGGAGGGCGAGGGTATGTCGTCCGAGGCGTGGGCCAGCAGCACCTCGGCCAGCTCGAACCAGTGGAAGGGCAGCGCGTTCGGGGGGGCGTCGGCCGTGCAGGACGGCAGGAAGGGCGGCGACAGGGTCTCGTCGGGACCAGAGCCGAGACGGCGCGCGTTGCCCATGGCGTCGGCGCGTATCGGGGGAGGCGGCGGCGGGGAGAAGGCGTCGGGGTCGCGTTTCGTCTCGTGGTGGACGATCTCGGCCAGGGAGTTGGGGTGGAGCCATTGCGGAGGCACGATGTTGGCTCGGCGTTGTTTCTTGAGGAGAAGAGCGAGCCAGAGAGGCAGGTTGGAACGTGTCGGGGGTCGCAGAGCCGGTGTCGCACCCTGGGCAGGCGTTACGCATGCATGTTAGCAGACTGCTCGATTGCGACGAGACGCGTGGCGGGGTAGAAAGCAGGGAGAGTGCTCACGCTCAATAGGTCGATGCTTTCTAGCCGCTGGCGCGGAACGATGGTGACCAATTCCATTTCGCACAGGAAGGCGACTTCTGCAGGCACAAGGCCCGGTGGGAGCGGCAGAGCCATTTTGTTTTCCGCGGGGGAGGGGAGGGGGGGAGGACCTTTCGCAGCTTAAGCAGCCCTCGACGAGATCATGCTTTCATTTCATCCAGCCCGCGTCAACTTTGAGATGTGTGACGGTGGTGGGGAAGGTCGATCCGGGTTCGCGGGGAATCTGCCGGCCCGTAGGTACCGCGGTACTTTACGACGCGGGGTCTAGTACGTACCGTTGTACAGCAGAAGGGGCGATACGTACCTCCCCCCACCCGGTCCGAGGCTTATGGGCAAGGGGTCGGGGTCGGGGTCCGGGTCCGTCATTTGTCAGCAGGGACAAATGATCTACATCGTGTTATTGACATTGACACATGATTGCGGATCTACGATACTTGTAGAGCTGACCTATACTCGATCATATGACGTTCAACGCTGGCTGGAACCTTGGTCTGGAAAGATATTCAACACGCCAACTATCGCGCTAAGGCTTTGGGATAAAAACAATCTTTCAACTCGAGGGGATATGTGGATACATAATACCAAGACATGAGGGAGAGACGCAGCTCGGAAAGTGGCCATGCCAAGAGTTACGAGGGCTACTACCTATGCTACCTACTACATTAAGGCGAGAAGTAGGCATGGATGGCTAAGAAAGGCTAGGTTCGACCTTTTCTTTACCCAGACAAGCATTCCTTTTTCGGTTCTCTGTTCGGAGTTTGGCCCGTCCCCGACAGCCAATCATGAGCAAGGCGTCGGGGCGTAGCCGTTAGACGGGATAGAAATCGACTTTCCTCACCTCATCCGAGAGGTATTTCATTATCCTATCTAGCGAGTTTGATCCGTACCGCGAGTCCAATAGATATCCTACCTTCTCGACTTCTCTTCCAAAAAGCTGCGGCTCACCGGGCCATATGCTGTCGATCCCCACCTTTGCACTCTAGCAGCCTTTCATCGTCCAGGGCAGGCCTGCCGTCTCATACGTATCATATTTGTATACAATATAGAGTTTAGCCATGCATTGCGCATCCATAGGACGACCTGTACAATGTACGGATACACCAGAAGTGTCTTGCGACTGTCCAGTCTGCCCAACCAACCAGACGATGTGGGGCTGCTTCCCGTGTCTGTAGGGGAGACAGCGACGAGCAGAGAAACAGCCCGAGTTACATGGGTAAACTACCCTACCGTAACCGACCTGGGGCCTATTTCCGCTGGTTAATACTCTTCACCTACTTCGGTTGGCATATTTCCAGCCCTCGCCTACCGAGATTGGCGCATTCAGCTGTCCTCCCTTAGCAGCATTGTCTCGCCTCGTCGTGGTGCTTGAATTGTAACGGAAAAGGTGCTTGCTTATCAGCACTCATGATCCATTCCCCGGCGGAACTTGACCGCGCCCGACCCAGGTTTCTCCCACGGCCCTCATAGCCGCTGTTGAAGGTTCCTGTTTCTCATCACTCGTGGCAAATGGGTTTCGTCCAACGCTAGAGGGATCCTGCGAGCGAGCAGAGCAGTATCGAGCCCGCCGGCGAAGCTTTTCCATCGAGGGCCGGCCCGGTCTAGGCAGGATCCCATAGTTGAGCCGGATCTTTTTTACGCCCTAACGTTTGGTGTTTCACGCCGCCCTTCCTGCACTATCTTCCAACTAAAGCGCGCCGAGCACCGGGAAACCCGGGACGGCGACGTCAGCGAGGCCTTTTGGGGGCTTTGGGGCTTTGGGGCTTTGGGGCGTCGACCTCACGTTCCTCGCACGCCCCCTTCTCCTCCCGTCCCCTGCAGGGGAAAAGAAACATAAAGAGATGAGAGATTGCTTCCTCGCCCAAACCCTTCCCCACCGGTGCCCAAGAGAGAGCCTGCGCATCTTATCAGTGTAGCTCCCGTCCGCCGTCGTATCAGCCTTAAATCGGAGCAGGTTGTCTGCCCTCCCCCTGGTATCCCGGAAAACCTTGGACCGCAGGACCATAGTCATGTCTTCCAACCTGTCAAACTTCAACAAGCCATGCAGCGGTTGTCGACGACGCAAAGTCCGCTGCGACAAAGCGAAGCCGTGCCTCAACTGCGTCCGCCATGGCATACCCTGCATCTACGACCCACAGAGGGACATGGGCGTTCCCACCCCCGAGAGCCAGCAGCAGCTTTAGGACAGAGTCGACCGCCTGGAGAGGGTCGTCGAAGATATGAGAGGCATGTCGTTATGGGGCGATTCGCAAAGGGGCATCGGCAGCTCGTTCCCTTCAGTGAGCCCCGCCACGAGTCACTTTGGCGAGCCTCACCGCGACGAGTCGATGGCCGGCGACCCCGGAATGCAAGTGTACGACGACGGTGTGTCCTATCATCTTGGGCCGAACCACTGGCTCAACCTTCATGATATCGTCTTCGAACCGCGGTGTCTCTTCCAAGTCGACCAGGACAAGACCGGCAAGAACCCTGCCAGCGCGTCCTCGTGGCCTATCGGCCGGACGCCCTCTCCGGCGAACCTTTCCCATCTGCATCTCGAGCCCGAGAAGGAAGACATATTGACGGATCTCTTCCTTACACACGTCGAGCCTTTGGTCAAAATGTGCCACGACGCCTACTGGCGGCAAGAAATAACGGACTTCAGGGTTGGGGTCCACAAGACGCCTGTTGCTATAGAGGCCGCCGTGTTCGCGACACAGGCCATGACTGTGGCGGCCTTGCCGGCAAGCTTCGTCCAAGAGAGACTTGGGAAGTCCAAGAAGGATCTGTTACGGCACCTTCAGGAGGCTTCCCAGCTGGCACTCGAGCGAGTCGACATCATGCGCAGCCGGAAACCCGTTGCCTTTTTTGCCTTGCTCTACCACATTGTTCGTCCGACCCCCAAACGGTTTCTTCTTCCTTTTGTCTTTTTTTTATTTTATTTTTCTATTTTTGGCTTTTTTCTTTATTCTTTCAGAGTTTCGTATTCTTAGTTGGCCAATTACTTTGCTATAAAAGAAACGGACAGCGGCCGATGTACTAATTGTGGACAGCAAATGAAATTCATCGTTGGAGATGGAGAAGTTGCTGTTGCTCTGCTTGGTCTGGCGGGTCGCTTCGGGACAAGACTTGGACTACACAGGAACCCCAGCCATTATAACTATTCACCGTGGATAGCGAATATGAGAAACCGGTTGTGGAGCCACTTCGAACTGATGGACAACCCGTCGTATAACCTTGAAGGCGCTGACTCTGGGTTGCCATTCATTTCCGACGTCCAGCCGCCGAAGAACGCAAACGACGCCCAGTGGGTGCCGAACAGATTCGCGAAACCCGGCTCGGCGCCCCCGGACCAAGACGGCATCACCGACATGTCGTTCGCGCTCATGCGGCAACATCTGGCCAGGACCCTGCAGTCCATCGTCCGGAAGCGTAACGACGTCAGCGCCGAGGAGCTTGGCCGCCTCGTGGACGAGACGGAAAACTTCATCACGGCCAAGTTTATCGTGCACGCGGACGGCTCCTCCCCCATCCACGCCTTGATAGTGTCTTACTTCCGCGGGAGCATGAAGAGCATGAGGCTCCTCGTTGACGGCATCGCGGCCCGGTACAGCGGCGGCCCGGATGCCGAGTTTAGGACAAGGCGAGTTACATCCCCCGAAGGAAGCCCGTTCGAGGCCGATCCGTTTTCTAACTTCTTTCGGGTCAGATTCTATCAAGAAGGCGTCGAGATTCTCGAGGAGACGGAGCGAGGCGAAGCGGTGGCCGTCCAGAACCACTGGGGCTGGCTGTACTGGTGGCCGACGGCGCCGTACCTGATTTGCAGCACCCTGATCGGCCTCGCCCAGCAACCGAAACACCCAATCACGGACCGGGCGTGGCGGCAGATGAACATTGCGTTCCGCAGGCACAACAACGAGGACGTCAGCATGCGCAACTTCGCGGCGTGGCGGGTGATCGAGGCGCTGTGCGACCAGGCGATGCTCTACCACAAGCACAGGTCGCACCAGGGGGCCTGGTACGCCCAGAGGCTCGACCAGGCCCGCCCCGTGACGACTGCGCAGGGCAAGCCCCCGATGAGCCTCGAACACGCGACCGTGGACGACATCTTGGGCGATGTCCAGATGTTCGGCCAAGACGCCTCGCACCACGGAGGCATCGGCTTCTACGGGCCGCAGCAGGGTCTCGGGACCATGGGGTATCCCGACTGGAGCCAGCCAGACCACCCTCACGGACAGGGCGTGCCGCCTGCGCATCAGCCGCCTGAGGATAACGAAGAGATATAATTCACGTCACAAATGCAAAGTGGCGGTGAGGTCAAAACAGTATTGTTGCGATGAAGGGAAACTAGCCCCAAAGTGGGCGGGAAACATGTCCACCGAAGAATGTTTCACATTTCTTCTTCTTCTGCAGGAATCTGTCACCAAACCCGGCCCATCAATGGCTGGCGCAGGCACGTGTACATGTGGAGGCCAGGCTACTGATTCCAAGAAACCATGTCTCAATGCTTGCTCGGCCTGTGGGTCCGAGTGCGTCCGAAAGGCCACCCATCTGGGAAAATGAGGAGGTCAGCCTAATGTCTACTATCTGGGGGGGGGGGGTAGAAGGAAACCGGAGCTTACATTGACTGGGCGCATGGACGTCAATGTCCAACTCGTCGGCCCAGGTCCACACAAGGTTGGGGTCCTTGAGGAACGCCCGCCCGACGAGCACGGCGTCCGCCTGACCGTCGGCCAGGACCTCGGTTGCGTCCTTGCCGGTGGCGATGCCGCCGACGGAGCCGACGACGGCGCCGGTGCCCTCGACCGCCTTCCTGACGGCCGCGGCCAGGTGGACCTGGTACTTGGGCCCGGGGGCCACCCTCATCCGCGCGTCCTGACCGCCGCCCGTGACGTCGAAGAAGTCGACGCCCTTGCCCGCGAGGATCTTGGCGAGCTCCTGCGCCTGGGAGATCTCCCACTGCGGGATGGACGGGTCGTGCTCGAGGTAGTCGCTGCCGGGGAGTCGGACGAAGACGGGGTAGTCGTCCGGCACGTTGGCGCGCGTCAGCTCCGTCAGCTCGACCAGCAGGCGGGAGCGGTTCTCGAAGCTGCCGCCGTACTTGTCAGTCCGCCGGTTGGAGGTCGGCGACAAGAAGTTGTTGATGAGGTAGCCGTGGGCGGCGTGGATCTCGATCGTCTGCGAAAAAGAAAAAAACAACAAAAAAACACTTCAGCACTCAAAAAGACATGGCCGCGGCGGCGCGAGGTTGATAACCACAAAAGAGAAAACGTACATCGTAGCCGACCCTGACTGCGCGCTTGACGGCGTCAACCCACTTGGCTTTCAGAATTTCAATGTCTTCCAATGTCATCTCCTTGGGGACGTAAGTGTCCTCGCTGTACGCCACGGCGGATGGGCCGTACACCTTGCCCGGCCATCCTCGTCCCTATCCCCCACCCCCCCGCGGGTTTGTCAGTCTCCTGTGGGCAGTTCTACTGAGGACAGGAAACCCTACCGTTTTCCCTGCGACTGCCTTGCGGTCTATCCATGGTGCGACCGTGCTGGCCTTGCGGCCGGCGTGGCCCATCTGGATGCCGATGTGGCCGCCCTGGCTGTGGATGAAGTCGATGACCTCCTTGGCGGGCGCCAGGTGCGAGTCGTCCCAGATGCCCAGGTCCTCGGGGGAGATGCGCCCCTCGGGCACGATGGATTGGACCTCGGTCAGCACCAGGCCGGCGCCGCGGACGGCGAAGCTCTGCAGGTGCGTCTTGTGCCACGCCGTCATGTGCCCGTCGTCCGCCGAGTACTGGCACATGGGCGACACGAAGATGCGGTTGTGCAGCGTCAGCCCGCGCAGCTTCAACGGGGAGAAGAGGGTCCCCTCCGGCTGCGGGTCCCTGGCCGTCCCGGCAGCCGGATCCTGGATCGGCGTGAAGTACGGAACCTTTTGGGTCCGGGCAACAAGTGTCAGAAATTGGTTTGATCCGAAAACGGCCCTCGGGGGCTCTACCGCTCGCAAGGGCAAAGCAATGGGGGGGAGGGGCAGAGGGGGCAGTTGGAGGAGTGCTTACATTTTTCGCTCCCTCGTTGACGAGGCCGGAGTCTACGGTTTGCAAAGCGCCAGCGATTGGGGCCTGGTCTGCGCCCTGGGTATTAACCTCGACTTTTGTCATGTTGAACGTGCGTGCACAGTATACTAGATCGTGGTTGGCCGCGATTGGCGAAATACAAGTGTAAAGCCCAAAGTCTAATACCGTCTGTGCTTTCTATAGTGTAGGTATCGTGTCTTCATTCGGGAATGCAAAAGAGGCTTTATATGCAATGGAACTGTGCCGCAATTCCTAATCGAAACTGGCTGATCGGTAGGCTATTGAGCCGGTCGGCGCTGAATAAGTGCCGTTGGACGGCATCACGGCGTTACATGTCGGTGGTTCGCCGAGAACTCGGCCCAACTTTTGGTTGGCTCGCTAAGATATATTTCCATATCCTATAATCGTCTTTGTTTTGTCCGATGTTGGCGTGCCTTGGAGTGGCTGCTGACTGCATACATAGTATGGCGCCTGGTTATGCCGACCAATGTCGCGATATGCCATGGTGTAGCGTCAGCTCTGCATCAATGAATTAGTTTAGGGCGGCGGGCGCCGAGCCATGAGCCTCAGTCGTCGGCAGGTCATCCAAACTAAATTCAATGACCTCGTAACTTTGATGTCTGATATTGAGATACACATCACGCCATGGTCATAGTCAAAACAGACACCCATTACTGCATTTTGTTACCAGCCAACGGTGAAATGACGCTACGAGCGTGCCATTGACACTAGCGTGTAGCCCGTCGCTAACCACGAGTGGTCTGCAGGACAGGCGGCTGACTGATCTGAACCCATGTTCCCACGCGGCCTAATGTAGCTCCCGGACTCGCCGACGCGGGCAGATGTGGACCGACCTAGCCTGTAAGAGCCTGAAAAAGATGCCGTCGAGGTCTGTCGGTGACTAGCTCTGCAAGGTGGCTGATTGATTTGCCAGCCGCCTCAACAGCCGGGATTTCATTGAAGAGCTCAAACTGCATAGTGCTAGGTGGTATAACTGTTGTCACGACGTGCCAAGTGACGAATTGTGAGGGGTAGTGACGCGGAACATCTTGTCTTAAGACGAGGTTTGGGTTGACAATAAGCCAGAAGTGGTCAGTGTGCGCCTGCAAAAACAAGCGCGCCTTGACTATTCGACTCTATTAATGCTCATGACACCGCTTGAATGCGGACCATGGCCATTATGTAGCAGAGCGATGGTCTTGCTTTTCAGGGACGACAACCTTTAGGTTTATCAAACCACCCGATGTGTGTGTCGTACGAACATTGTCTTTCGACACACCTTATGGAGAATGTGTTGACAGGGAATGGCCGGCAAACTTGGTGATGTCAAAACGCCATTGTATAGATGGACATGGGCGAATGGGATATGCGCCGGCGACAGCGAGGAGGGTGCTTTGGTGATCGGCATTAGGAACGAACGGGAGGCAATTTCTACAGGCAAAATGGCGCCAAGCTGCAGTATGCGACTGACTAGGTACCTTAAGCCCACTTCTACAGTGATCCCCGCCGATCAACTCTATTAAACTTCAGCTTTCTGTCATGTTTAAGTTTTGTCATCTCTGGAATGATTGGGTATAGTTATAGTTTAGTACTATGTATTAAAAGACACACAAGACACGTTGAACTGGAACAGCCCCCCCCCCCCCCCCCGACTGAAACTCCAAGGCCGTCTGTTGTGTGTGTGCCAGCCTTAGAGTACCGTACCGGTAGTGTCCACACGTCCGAAAAGGGATGCTGGCCGATCTGCAGATCAGTTGCGGGACTAAGGTACGCAGACCTACCTGGTAGTGAGTTCAGCCAGGCCAAGGTACCCAGGGTATAGGACAACTCGGCCGAGCTGGAGACAACCGAAGATGGAACTGTCTTGAAGGAGTTTGATATGGACTATACAAAGACAAAAGCGAGAAATAAGGAAAGAACCTAATCTCTAAATGAAGACGGGAGGAGATATGCTTCTTTGCTTTTGAGATTGGGCTTGGGTTTGGCTTACGGATGCTCCCGTGGTAAAGTACGCCCCAAGATGGGATAGGGCGCAACTTGCGCTTGGCTACATGCCGTCGCGTACACGCGAGTGCGCAGCCATGAGGCGTCAGCTGACGTATATACGCCGGGAGAGGACCGGCTGTCTCTAATACGTACGCTCTACCTCGCACTGCAGCACTTTCACGGTGACGGCGGCAGTCTTTCAAATTTCGCGCGCTGGAGTTTGCGGACGCCGAACACCCCTGCCGACGAAGCCCGGCTTGTCTGGTTCCCCTGGTATGAAACTGAAACGATGTGGAGAGCCGCCCCAAGTATGAACGCAAAATAATCCTCCGTCGACCCGTTGCCCGTCATCCCATTCTTCTTGTTTTACAACTGTATACTCTTTGCTTCTATTATTAAGAGCTGTATGAACTGAGCTGCCGAGGAGCTTCTCTCGCTAGGTGGGACAGCCAGCGTGATAGCGTCGCCGCTGCGTCTCTAACCGTGGTTTCTTCTTCGTTTCTCAAACCCTTCTCTCTCTGCGCGGCGACATTCCATCCCTTCTCTTCTGTCATATGTCCAAGACCTCTTGGCGGATCGACTGCAAGACTCCGAATGTTTGGCGACGTAGTATTGCCATACTAATGTTAGTTAATATTCAGCCCTTTGTTTTTTTTTTTTAAAATCCCTTTCCGGATTGCCTCCTGGATCTGCAGCTATGCCATTGATGCTCAACTCTTGGTTATTTATACCATATGCCGCCGACTCCCGTTCTGGTCTCTCTTCCCTTCAAGCCAGTTCATTTCTCCCGATCCTTTTTCATCCCTTTTCAATTCACTTCGTTGTCAACTGGCTTGACATTTGGCTGCTGGATAGCCTTTGTTGTGTTCACCTTTTGTTTCATTGACAATAACATCACTTTGTTCGTGATCACCACCCTCCTTCATCGCCGCCCCTTCTTTCCTTTGGCTTCAACTGTCATTCCCGATAGATATACTCATTCTTCGGCCCCTTCGCACTCGTATCTTGCAAAGCTTCATCACCGCCGACGCCCGCTCAGCTAATCCAATCAGCCAGGAGAATGGGTTGGGGTGTGGTCGAGACTCCGGGTCAACCTTTCGCGCCAGGAACGGTGCTGCTCGAGGACAAGAAGATACCCGACGAGATCACAATTGGCGATGATGGTCTCAAGAGGAAGCAGGGAGTCATCCTGCAGCCGCAGCCCGACGACGACCCCAACGATCCTTTGATGTGGTACGTCTACTACACCGACTCGCAACAACAATAACAACCCCCCTGGCGCATACATCATGAGCTGACATGATCCTCCCCCTCCCCCTTAAAGGTCCACGGCATGGAAATTCGCCCACCTTTTTGTCATTGTTTTTGGGTCTAGTGCCACCAACGCGTAGGTCAAATCAGCCATCAGCAGGTCCGTGTTCAGCAGCTTACTTATGCTGTCTTGTTTCGCAGGATCACCACAATGGTCGTTCCCGGCATCGCGCCACTCGTCGACAAGTTCAAGGTGACCGAGGGCGACATATCCAGCCTCATCCTCACCGCGCCGACATTCTTCACCAGCCTCGTGTCCTTCTTTGTCGTGTCAGGATCCGAGATCGTGGGCCGGAGGCCATTTTACGTCATCAGCATCGCCGTCATGGCCGCCGCCAACTTTGGCGGTTTCTTGGCCAATGTACGTTTTGCGCCCAGTCGATCTCCACCCCGAAGTGACCCAGAGTTTGATCGCAACGGGACGGGGACGGTTCTTTGTTTGCTAACGACCCCGTACAGACCTATCCGGTCCTTGTCCTAACCCGAACCGTTGCCGGCCTTTTCTCTTCCGCCATGTTCACCCTCGTCACAGCAACCATCGCCGATATCTTTTATGTACACCAGAGAGGCAGCGCCATTGCTTTCTGGAACATCGGGCTGACCGTGGGCGGACAGCTTGGGTAGGCCGATTCCTTACCCCTCCCCCATCTTCATTGTTATTGCAACTCACCTTGGCAAAAGAGGCCATGGCTGACATTCTCCCCTACAGCCAAATCGTCGGAGGCGTGGTCACCGACAAACTTGGCATCTCGGCCGTCTTCGGTCTCGCCGCTGTCGTCTTCGGCGCCCTCATCCTCCCGACGTACTTTATCGTCCTGGAGTCAGCCTACTTCAAGAGGGGCGACGCCATCGGCTCGCGACAGCAGCAGGAAAAGAGCGAGGATTTCGACGAGGTCGAGTACGCCAAGAGCCTGCCGGCTCGCAAGGAGCCCTACCTGGAGCGGTTGGGACTATTCCGCGGCAAGATGACGGACAAGGCGTTCTGGATGGGCGTCGTGAAGCCGCTGTTCTTTCTCTCGTCGCCCATCATTGTCTACAGCGCTCTTCTCAATAGCTTGGTCCTGGTCCTCAACTCTGGCGTCACGACCCTGATGTCCATCATCCTCAGCGAGGCACCGTACAACCTGCAGCCCACCGACATCGGACTCACCGGCCTGCCCCTGCTGGGCGTCTCCCTCATAGGCGGGCCCCTCATCGGCTGGGTGTCCGACTCGAGCGTGCGCTTCATGGCCCGGTCCAACGGCTCAAATCCGGGCGTCGCCGAGCCCGAGTTCCGCCTCGTCCTCCTGATCATCGGCCTCCCCATCACCGCCGTCGGCCTCGTCGGCCTCGGGCTCGCCATCCAGCAGGGCCAGCCGCTCCTCTGGTTGCTCGCCTGGCTCTCCGTCATGGCCTTCGGCTCCGGCATCGGCGTGCAGGTCGCCGTCGGCTACATCATCGACTACCTCCCTGCCCACTCGGCCCAGGCCTTCACGACCGTCAACATGATCGCAGCCCTCGTCGTCTTCGCCGGCACAACCCCGATTATCGACTGGCTTCAGGCTTCGGGTCCCGCCGTCGTCTTCTCGAGCCTTGCGGGGGTCGCCATGGCCAACCTTGTCTTCTCCATCCCACTCTACATCTATGGTAAAAGGATCAGGACCTGGTATGGGAGCACGCGGCTGTCGCAGTGGGTTCTCGACTAAGCGGGCGGCCGACCGGCAGGTCACCCGCACGAGGTGGGAAGCTATCAGACATAGGCATGCAGTTTTCAATCAGAAGAGACGCCGCGGTTGACGACTCGGATAGGTTGGAGCAGCGGGCCCGGAATTTTATAATCCTGACGTTGAAAAGAGCTTCGGGGCGCTGGCTACCTTTGCCTTGTTAGCAGGATCTACTTAGTTATCCCCGGGCTTCTGTCAATACACTTCCTCGTCAGGCAAGTTTCTTAATGAGCCTCTTTTGATGTAGCTCGTAACATGGTTTGAACGCTTTTAACTACGTAATATATGTTGACCTGGTCGTTCCAAATGGTGAATTGCGTGGTGTGCTTTAAGTTTCTTTTTCCTTTGTTCCTTTTTTACATGTTGAGATTTTCTTTCAATGATTTACCTACCACACCCTGAAGAAACGAGTGACTGGTGTTCGTTAAGCAACGCTGTCAAGTTGTTTCAAGAAACATGGGCTTGGGACTCGTTACTCGGTACGTCCGGGGGAGGGGGGCGTCTTTTAGTGGACTGCGACCCGCCGGTATGCGAGCCCCTGGCACTCCGATCGACTGATACTTACTACCTTGTGTATTCCTTCGCCCCGGAGAGGTCAAACGAGCAAGGGAGAATGCGCGGATCAAACAAGGCCGAAAATGTGGAACCTCGTAGCTAACGCGACACCTTTACGCCAGTTCGGGGGCCGCGGGGTTTCTGAGCCCGGGGCCCGCGGCCCGCGATCGTGATATCTGATTCAAACTGTGAAGCCTTCGTCACAGAGTAAGACAGGCTTGGACTGGCTTAAAAGGCCTGCCAACCATTGTCTGCTTCTCCTGTTCTCCGTCCTTCTGAATTTGAACCACCGAGAAGAACTATACGCATGGAACCATTCATGTAGTAGCGACATGTAGCTCATGACCGCATGAAGTTCTGGCTGGATGGAAGTACTCGGACCCACAACCCGAATATCTAAACATATGCCGTTACTGATGACGAGAAGTTGCTGGACCCGCGGTCGTTGCTTCAGGAGTTGGTATCACCTTACGAAACATCATTCTAAGCCAGGTCGTGGCTGCTTTCCCCGACGTCAGTACCGACGACAACCGCCATCAATATGCGCAGTGAGAGCGCAGCATTGACGTGCGTCTGCCCCCGTCTCCCAACCTTGCAACAGTGACTACATGCAAGGATGCGCATGGAGGTTTCGAAATAGCCAACCAACCCAGTCACCAGTTTGACCTCGCAGCTCCCCTTCAATGCAGGCATAGGCTACATGTGCACATGTCGGGACATCAGTCTGTAGATTTCTAGCCTGGTTCTGTCTAAACTTGTTTCTTTCCAGGCAATGCATTTGTTCCCCAATTTGTCGTCAGCCGCCTTTCTAACTAACTTATCGTCCCTTTTCGGGACTCTTTACCATACCTCAATTAGCTCTTGGTCGTTCTTTTACCCCTATATACCCTTACCCGAGGCTAGCCAGGATGTCGCGGGCTGGCGCGAAGCTATCACCCTGCGAGGCTGGTTATCCTGGACAAATTCTCAGTGCCACTTCTTGACTAAGGGCCTAATCGGTAAAACCGATAACAGTCTGATATTAGCTGTACTCTAATAAGAAAATACATAGGGTTAGGGTTAAGGAGAGTTTAATACAAGGCTAAAGGTTAATTTAGTAAATATACTATCTAGTTCCTTAGATAATATAAATCTCTTACTACTTACTCTTTTATAGTATTAAAATAAGGTTTATATACCTTTTATTATTTTTTATTATTATTTTTTATAATTATTATAATTAATTATTATAAATACTACTTATAATCTATATTTAACTATTATAGTAATATAGTAAAGTAAAGAAGGCTTATTCCTTAATACTAAAAGCTTTATTATTACTTAACCTTTTTCTTTAGATTTTACTTCTAAAGGTAAAAGCCTAGTATAGTAATTATCTAGGAAGCTAGTACTATAAAAGTTATAACTTAGTAAAAAAGCTAGAGATTATCTTATTAAAGTCTTTAGTAATTTTTCTAGTAATTCTTTTAGTAAATCTACTACTAGATCTACTATTAATAATTTAACTAATTTAGTTAATAATAAAGTTATTAATAAAATTAATAAAAGAACTTATATAATATTACTTTTTCTAGAAAATAAAGTTTATAATAAAATCTATAAAATATTTTTTTTATAGATATATAGTAATCTTATAGCTAAGCTTTAAAATAGTCTTATATAGTATAAAATTAAGGGAATTAATATATAGGCACCTCTAAATTAATACATAAGTATACCTTTTATATAGGTACCCCTATATATACCTTTTATTAGTCTAAAAAAACAGTATATTCCTAGAAAGGCAGTAAACGTTACCTTACTAATATCTCTACTATTGTCCTACACTATTATCTAATTACCTTATATAGCTATAGAGAATAGGCTTTACTAGGGGTCCTTTTTATAGCTATAGGAAATAAGCACTCTAAGGGGTACTCTTTATAGCCACAAGATAGACCTCCCTATAGAGCCTATTTCTTATAGCTATAAAGAGTGCTCCCTTATAGAGCTTATTTCTTATAGCTATAAAAAGTGTCCTTTATAAAGTTTATTTCTTATAGCTATAAAGAGTACCTCTTAGAGCACTTGTTTTTTATAACTATAAAGAGTACCCCTTAGAGCACTTATTTCTTATAGCTATAAAGAGTGCCCTACTTTTACTTTTAAATAGGACTATATATTTAGAAAGACTACTACTTAGCTACTCTTTTATAACTTAGCTATAAGGATTTATTATTACTATTAACTATTTTTTATTAACTCTATATTCTCTAAATACTAGGCTAAAGAGGCTATTTATTTATATAACTTTTTATTATTCTTTTTTTACTAAGAATACTAGACTAGCTTTTTGTTTATTACTAAGATAAAGTTAAAATTTAGTGTTAACTTAGTTAACTTACCTCTTATATAGACCTATTTTTACTTTTAGGTAGGTAGCCTTACTTCTTACTACTTATACCTTAGCTATAGTTTTTAGTATATATTTAGCTAGCTAACTAGCCCTCTAGAGATAAGGCTAGCTATAATAAGATAATATTACACTTTAGTGTAGGTATATTAATTATAAATTTAATGCTTTTCTTTGTTCTAAATAGGCAGAGGATTTATCTATAAATAGTAGTAATTTCTAGGTATAAACAGCTAAATAATTCTCTAAGAATTCCTAGAGAATTCCTAGAGAATTCCTAGAGAATTCCTAGAGAATTCCTAGAGAATTACTCTACTAATATTCCTAATATTCCTAGGGTATTAGCTAGCTAATAGCTAGTTAATAGCCTATATATTATAGGGTAAATCTTTTATAGAATAAGTATTCTATAGTATAATAATTACCTATATATAAATTACTTTTTATCTTAAAATATAGATAATTTATAAATAAAATAAACTAAACTATAAGTAATAGAATTATAATAACTACCTAGTATTATCTATAATCCTCTAAATACTTTTTTTTATTTACTATATATATAAAGTTATTTACCTTATTCTTATCCCTATAGGTAATCCTTTACTATTTAGTAATTATTATTATATATTAGTTATAATTTAAGAGAATAACTATATTCTTACTTAATTTTTATACTCTCTAGGAGCTAAACTATATCTATAAAGTAAATATTAGCTATATTAGCTAGGCTTATACTTAATTTCTTAAACTAATTATTATTACACTTATATATATTATTATATATATAGTTATTAAGTATTCTAAGTTACTTCTAACTATAAGACTTAATATAAAACAAAGATATTCTAAGGTAAATAGTAGTAGTAGTCTATATACTCTCTTTAGTCTTATTATATATACGCTAGTAAAGTATATTACTATTAATATTATAGGTAATAAAGTTATTATCCTAGATAGTATAAATTATTTTTACTACTAGTTATAAAGTATTTAGAATATTTATTAAGGCCTTTAAGCTTAACTTTTAGTAAATATAGTCTTTTA